GTCCTGCCTGTCTGTCTGTCTGTCTGTCTGTCTGTCACTTAAAACAGGTGTTTACATGGGGACCTAGTTTGTTTACTTTAGTCCTTTTTTTACTTTTTGACACCTGTTTATTTCATATACATGTACATTGTAATTTGTTAGTTGTATCTTTAGTAAAGTCCATTCCAGATTAGTTTTTTTTGCATTAAATATCACCTAATAACCTAAACTATAGAAGAGCCAAATTAATCTATAGATATTCCCTATAAATTAAATCAATAAGGATCATATTTTTTCTTAAATAACCAAATTCATTAAGATTCTCCTAAAAATAGAAAATATTTAGTGAAATAACCCTAATTTAATAAGATTAGGCTTAATAAATCCCAAAAATAACCAAAACAGTTATAAAAATCCATACGATTGTATGATAATTATTAACAAACATCTTTAAGGGTCCAAACCAAAAAATCCCTATGAAATTCTATGAACTTGTATAAAAGTTACAATGATTATCCTATATAGCCTAACAATTGCAAGATAAATCAAAGCACAGAAGGCGCTGAATTTGTTTGGGTCTCAGAATGTAAGAAAGGTGCAGGTTGTGAGATTATATGTTTAGTGCCACCAATGCTTTCCAGCGTTTTAATTGTAGTAAATTGGCTATAAGACTAATTGCAACACTGATATTCAATCCAATGTTTATTTGACTTTAACAATTTAAAAAAATGAGTTACCTTTACTGGGATTTGAACTCCAGACCTCTCGCTTCCTAAGCGAGCCCGAAAACCCTTCAGCCACGGTTAAATTTATATGTGAACGGCCTGAAGAAAACCATATTATTCTAAATTAGGGCTTGTAACGACTTTTAACTGTTGTTTAACACAGATGTAAATAATCCTGAAGCTTACTATAAGCATGTATATTTATAAAGAATCAAAGGGCTTCAAGTTCTTTGGTATTTTCTGATCTTTGCAATCTAAATCGTACTGTATATCTGTATGCATTTTCCTGTATAAGTTTATTTTTATGTATTATAATTCATTTTGTAAGGCACATACGGAATTCTGCATAACTAGAGTTGCATCAAAAAATCATTTATGTACTTTTTTTACGAAAGCCACACTTTATCCTTGTAAATCATGGCTACTTCCTTAACAAAAACAATTAAAAAAAGAATTTAACAAAAAAAAAATTTCCTCGACTGGGATTCGAACTCGAGACCTCTCACTCACTAAGCGAGCGCGTTACCACTGTACCACGGACAAGCTTTACACAGAATGTCTGAATAATATCAAGTGATTCTAAATTTAGAACTTCCATTGCATTCAGGTTTGTAATCCTTATTAATTTCGAGGTATTTTGTTCAGGGTAAACCTGTTGTTTAAAATTGAAGTAAATATTTTAGCGAAAATCATCTCGCCCAAACAGTCCGACATGTAGAATCTATATATTCCACTACTCGGGGTGTGTAGTATTCGGTAATCTACATGGCTAAAAAGAGTATTTTCATTGATAAAATCATATTCATCCGCGTAATTTGTGATTGTGCATTTATTGACAATTCTATAAGCCAACGCTATTGTTTAACTTTAAATGCGTTGTAATTTGTTGGATACTTGTAACAAAATAAAATATTTCTTTCTTTTAAATCGCTAGTTTTAAGCTGTTTTGAGAACTACTTGTTGTTAGGTTTGTCATAAACTTCTGTGTCAGAGATTGAATGTCCGCTTTGTATTTAGTTATTTTCGATCAGAAAATACCAGAAAACAATATTAGAAATCTTCGACCATTCGGGAATTACTTTGCTTGAAAATTGATGCACCTGTCTTTGACCATCTTTACGCAGTGATCTCCCCTGAATTTTTCGGCTTTAGTGTACATACAAAAGGGAAGTAACCACTTCAAAAAAGTGGACTACTTTCGGCATTTGCAATTAAGAACATTAGACTCTGAAATTTCGCTACCATTATTTGTTTGGTCTGACGACCCAAACAAATAAAAATCAACCCAACAATAAATGAGGTAATTTTACCCTAATTTAACTTCTCCTACAAGAAAAGGTCTATAGTTTATCAATTTGATATAATAATATCTATTAACAACAATATTTAACTGACTTGGAGAAGAAAACCCAATCAAATTCCATCAGAAACTAAATACATGTAAGTTATGACATAATCAATAATAATGGCCATTTACAGACTATGAAAATGGACCTCGCACTGATTTTTCAGCATGCAAATTAAATTAACTGAATAAGTAGTTCTATACACACAAGATATATCCAATATAATTGAATACAACTTATTGAGAGTTTAAAAGAGTTAATCTAACCAATTACAACATAAGATTCTTTAATAATATAGGAAAAAAAGAAACTTTTATAGCCAATAAATGAAAATACCACTAAATAGCAGGAGTTATCTGCTCTCCCCTTTATAACAAATACATATATGACTTATATGACACTATGATATGTTTGTTAGGGAGTACTGGGATCCAGGTCACTGGTGTTTACACTTTTGCTCTTACAGACTTTATGACGAATGTGTGTTGAATATGTTAAATTTGCAGGTTCATGGAGCATCCATGGCTTTCAGCAATATTCTTGTCTTTAAATATTTTCTGTGCTATAACTGCATTTATGTAATGTTTCCTTGATATAATGCTACACAATAGAGACAAACATTATTTTATCTTGACTATTCAAAGAATAGGGAGAGTTGTTGTACTCACCTAGGCATCAGCACCACACTGATTAACCACATTTTGTGAAAAATGTCTGTTTTCATTGAAAAGCCTCCCCCCTCTGATTTAGTATCTTTTTGATAGGGGACGGCACCGAAAGAGTGATCATTTTTTTTTAACAACATCTCAAACAAAAACAAGTGTTTGGGGTATATAAATAGGGCATTTTTTCACCATTTGAGGCCTCAAAAAAAAAAGGGGGGGGGGGGGGGGTGAAAAGGCATGAAAAGACGTCTGTATGAAGTAATGGGTTAAGTTTATGGTACAAGTTGGTATCTCCAAAACTACTGAATGGAATGGGTTGAAAGTTCACACACTTGCTATAGAGCATAATATGAGAACACTGTCCAAGGCCTATATTTCTATCATGGATTTTACAAGTCTTACATTTTTACAAATCTTAACAAGTCTTCACAAGGGAATTACAAAACAATAGCAACAATGATAACTTTTAACAGTTTATTTTATGTCAAAAGGACATCCCTAAAAACAGACTTTTTGTAACACAGGACTGAAAAAAGATACAATAATATATCACAGCATATAAAGTTCCCTTCATATCACAGACTATCCCAGAATGCTTGAATCCCAGAATATGCTCTACCATATACACATATTGCAAGTAAGCTTTGACATACAAACACAACCCAGATTGCTCCCAACTGTAAAATGAAATATTTGCCATAAAAAAGAAAAGAAAAGGAAAAAGAATTGAAAATCCTAAAATGGGTTAAATGACATATTAAATAGAATAATGCCAATGAAATACCTGTAATATACAGGTAATTTACCATAGTATGGAATTATCAGTTGTGATTGAATTTTATTTTTTACTTACATTTGTATGTTTTACTATGTGGTAATTAAACATTTGAGACAATATTTTATACAAACTTTAAAAGAGTATTTCCTCAACAAAAAATTCTTTGAAAAATTTATAAAATATCTTATATTTTCCTATATGTTCATAAAATTACAGATAAATTTCAAAATGTGAAGCATGTTTTTTAAACAAAATGAATTGTACAGTAATGAAACTTTGTGTAAAAACTTGAAATATTTTATTTCACAGATTCCGACTTATTTTAATATACAGAAATTATTACAATAAAACATCCAGACTAGCAAGTTTATCAAGAAATGCTTGTGTTTGATTTACCCCTTAACCTGCTGTATTTCTTAAATGGACTTGTCCATCTTCCTTTTTGGAACTGTCCATTATCAAATTTTGGGATATTAAGATGAAAAGTTGAAGTTGGTCTGCCACCAGAATATGGGCCTGGTTAGATTGCATGGATAAGTGCAAGTTGGCCTGGCTCTATATTGGTAATGAAGGCTTACCACCTCTGTCTGACTGCAGTTATCTAAAACTTATCCTTAGCAGGTTTTAGATAGTTGATAACCATTTCATCATATCAAAAAAATAAATTTAAAACAATTAAAACCAAAACAAAAATATAATAAAACAAATGCAGACAAAATACATTTCATTTGGAATATCATTCAAAATAACAGTGGCAAGATAACACTAAAAGCTCAAAAATAATGATTTTAAAATAAATATGAATTTTTTCATTTTTTTTTGTTATACTTTTTGATACATTCAGTGCTATTTATGGTGTATTTATTCTTCACAAACTTTAATCAATGTGAACAATCATCATGTATGTACTACATATTGAGACAAGGTATATCACAAAGTACATGTATTTAAAACGTAGGGACATCTTATAATTTTGATTATCTATTTACATCTAATAGTAAGATCACCTTTAGACATTTCAATTTATCAGAAAACTATAAATTAATACATTACAATTTATAAATAATAAGAAAAACAATATTATGCAAAAGAAAATATCATATGTAAATATAGTGCCCCAATCCTGCTCTTAGAAACTTATGCCAGAAATCCCCTTAATTCAAACAGATCCAGAAACAAAAAAAAATCTTCTCCTAAACCTTAAAGTATTTAAACAGAAGTTAGGAATTGTAAAGTGATTTTTAAACGTTTTGACTGTCAAAACGTTTAAAAATCACTTTACAATTTCTAACTTCCCATAAAAATATGTGAACTTAAAACACACATTTACTAGTAGTGGTTTAAACTTATAGCTATACAGACACTATATATCAAACCTTTAATACTACAGCACTTAAAATATCCCCTAACAACACAGTAGAGTTGATTTCAAATTAATGTTATAATAATTTGATTGTCTTTTTGATTTACTTGTAAAGTCACAAACTATAAATCTCATGACTAGATTTGATCTGAAAATTATTGACGTCTTTCAATTTTGTTTTTAAGAATGGTATTAATCCTTTAACATATGCCAGACAAAAATATATTTAACACAGATAATCAAGAAGTTATAAAAGTCAAAACAAATAATAAAAAATGAAGTAAAAAACATCTGATTTTCTTTGGTTTGTAAACAGCAACTATTCTAATATAGCACATTATAGCTAATTTTATAATAATCTGCAACAATTTTACAGTAAAAAATAGTTAAATACAATTCTATAAAGTTGATAATACATTTACCAAAATACCCTATAACCAAGGTAAAGTAATACAATGCCATTTACACATTTACCCTGTAACCAAGGTTAAGATATTTTAGGACATATGCCCTATAACCATGGTTAGGGTAATAATGGGTCATTTACCCTATAACCAAGGTTAAGATATTTTAGGTCATTTGCCCTATAACCAAGGTTAGGGTAATAATGGGTCATTTACCCTTTAACCAAGGTTAAGATATTTTAGGTCATTTGCCCTATAACCAAGGTTAGGGTAATAATGGGTCATTTACCCTATAACCAAGGTAAAGATATTATAGGACTTTTACCCTATAACCAAAGTTAGGGTAATAATGGGTCATTTACCCTATAACCAAGGTTGGCATAAGATAAACAACCAAATATTGATAACAATTCTATTAGTCAATAGTATATGAATGTTAACGAGTATGAAGATAGCATGCATTATTTATTCTAATATATATCATTTAAATAAATATTACCCAGAAATTACTACATAGATAAGCATAATTATATTACCTATTACTTGTTTGTTGCTAAAAAAAATGTGCCTGAAATATTACTTTACTTTTAAGTTGTTTTTTTTTATGGTTATGTAAAGAAACAACATTGACCCTGCCATTGTGAAAGTATTAAATATACAACTGTCCATGATTAAACTTTATAGTTTTATGGATGGCCTACAAATGGTCATTAAAAATAATTCAAGGAAAATGCACTTTAATCTAAATTTAAGCAATTTACAAATCAAACTTTCAGAGTTAATCAGCTTTCAGGTCTTGTTTAATTAATAAGAATTTGTGGAAACATTGAAAAAAAAAACAACAACAAAACCTTATCATCTGATGTACTCAATACAAAATAATGCATGTTAGTGAACTAAAGTGGTAGCATTATGTATGCCAATTTAGAATAGAATTTTGTAGAATTTATACGCAACATAAACATTTTTTAAAATATATTTCATATTTTTCTTCATTGTTTTTTTTTTCTTCTATTATATCTGAGGTATCTATAACAAAATTATTTGCAATAATTATAAAAGTTTATCAGGTTGGTGCCGCAGATTTATCGTATTGCTCGACGGGGAACATTTTGCGTGGCATGTAAACGTTTTTGGTGACAGGATGTACACGGCTACGTTGTTCAGCAGTCTGGGGGTTTACATGTCCTACCTGAAATTTAAATAAAATAAAACATTTATATCATATGCTCATAATACTGCATGTTTGTAACGTCACTTTTCATTGGATAATCCTGTAGTTTATATAGTTTTATATACACAGCTGCTGTCAATTTATGAAAAACATGGCATTGCTTTTTTTAAATATGAATTTTGCTGTATTATAAATTTGTTATCAAGATTCCTGACAGGTTATCTGGCCCATATAATTCCATCTTGGTCAAACCCATGTTTGAAATTCTTATCATGACACCAGAAATGGTTAGTTTCCTTGTTGGAAACAAAATCAAAAGTGTTTCAAGTAAGCTTCAAGTTTTCAATACTATTGAGGTAATAACAATAGCTATTTCTTACAAAATGTAAAAACACATTTTGTACTTAAATATATTATAATTGTGAGAAAAAATCTTAAAATATGTCAAAATTGCCATGTGAATTATGGCCCTTATTCTTACCAACACTAGATGCATTAAAATGATAATAAACATAACTATTCTAAAATACTTAAATGATATAAAAATTAAAATCTCACTCTGAAATAACAGAAATTAAATGAAATAAATTTCGATGTTAAATTTCCAAACTAGACAGATGTCTATCAAAGGCTTATAAACTTTATATGTAATGTTTCCTTTCCTACCTCCTGGCAGTGCTTATATATAATACGTTAGTATTCCTAATATATAAGCACTGCAATATATTAATCAACAAATCAACCCTCCCCAAACCACACAAAAAACTGAACACAATAAAAAAATTCTCCATCATACAAAAAATAACATGTTAACATTAAATTTCAAAGCTGCATAAAGTTATATCAAAGTACAGAAAGCAAAATGCCATTAAAATTAGTTGAAATTACCAAACAAATATTACATACACAGAGAAAAAACACATACTTAATTACATTTAATACTATAACATATAATCATGTATTTCCTATTATAAAATGATAAAATCTCGAAGACTTCCAATTGTTAATTCAGTTTATATGGTTGAATACTTATTATTTCATGATAATACAATTTGACTTCATTAACATCTACCAGAATTTTGAAATTTTCATCTGAACATTTTTAAATCATCAAATTAACTGCCAATTAAAATCATGAAGCAATTTGGTCTCAATTTTCATAAACTAAGATAATATCGAAGCTTTTGCATGTTGTGAATAAGAAGCATACCTATATGTGCATTAAATAATTAGAACATAAATTCACAATGACATAATATAATAATTTACAAAATCTAACATAAAACAATGAATAGCTTCTGACACAGCTGCTTTAATCTTGTCTACAAAGAGTAAAATGTGTATATTTCATAAATACTATTATATCACGTATCATGTATACAGTATAAATCATAGTTATAATCAAGCATTTTTTTCACATTCCTAGTTTGGTTTTCTGGTTTTCCTTAGTTCACAGTGAATCAGGATAAATCACAAAAATATTGTCTGAATGTCCTGGACTGTGTTCAACTGGCAAAAAGCTCCAATTATTTACAATTATTTAATACAACTGACTACACAGGAATGTCACCTCTGTTTTCATCAATATTTGAGCCGCGTCACCAACATAGTGGGTTTGCGACCAGCATGGATCCAGACCAGCCTGTGCATCCGCACGGATGCGCAGGCTGGTCTGGATCCATGCTGGTCGCAAACACATTATGTTGTTTTTGTCGTGACGCAGCTCAATTCATAACAAGCATTAGATGGACCCTAGGTAGAAACATCCTCCTTCCATTAACTAAATACAAAGTTTTCCTCAAATGAGAATAAAACCCTTTCCGATATCTTACAGCAAAATGGAGCAAAACTTAGTAGTAACATGGCTACAAAGACCTGTTACCTTACATTAAAACATGCATTCTTAACACAAAGAAATTAAAATTCATAAGCCCTTTAAAGGATAAATATAAGAGTATTTTTCATCTTTATCACAGACCTTGGAAACATTGAACTCAAAGCAATACAGAACTAAAATCTTACTAAAGTGCTTTAAAAAATTCACATAGTTACATAATGTTAAAGCAAATGTGTCATAAGCTAAAAAACAAAATGTTTTTTATGTGAGACAGCCTCTATTTGCTTGCAAAGCATTTTTTGTCTAAACAAACTCACTTCTATGCAGATTTCAACCTCGTTGTCAACTATATAGCAAAAAAAAATAATGATATGATTAATTAAAAAAAAACAACACAAATTGTTTTTTATTGATATGCAATGAACATAAATATGTTCCATTACACGCAAAATGATCAATGAGATAGTTAAGCTTTTGGTGCAAAAAAAAAAGTGACATCCAGAAATTCGGACAAATAACTTTGACTTACAATGTCCGAAGATTAAAGAAATGTTTCAAGTTTGACTTGGTAATCACTTGATTGCACCAAAATCTCGGTGACTGCCTGCCAGTTTTCGTATGTTCTCCATCTCTTCTCTATTTAATAATGGTCTATGAATGTTACTTACGTTACTCACATTATGCGAACATACTACACTTCTATGGAAAGTGCTGATACATAAAATAAAACATTCCTTGTTCATTTATTTACACAACAAATCAATGGCCAAATTACGGAACTTTTTAATTTATTTCTGGTTTGAATTATATACAACATATTTAGAGCCAGATATTTTGATAGTATTTCTGTCCAATTGAAACACATTCTACCAGACGGCAAATAATATAATGGTTTTCCAAAATTGTGATGAATATAAAAATATGCTCCAATTTCAAGACTTGCACAGGCAAACCCAACCCAAGACATTTCAACATCTCTCTAAGGAGTTAAATGGGGAAAAACTTTTTCATAAAGTACATGTAAGTGTAAAATGTATGAGTGATGAATAATTACATTGTAAATCAAGATAAATACAAATTTATACTGAAAGTATTAATTACTTAGTAAATTGATTTAATCACAAAATGCTGAAGTATTGATTATGGCTTAAATAATAAAATTGCTAATGCTTTATACAAATGAAAGTTTGTTTATAAAACATTACTAAACTGCATAATTATATTGTGTTTGTGAACCATTTTAACATTTAGTAAAAATTACTTTTAAACCTGTACATAAGAACAACCAGTGATCTTCGCAAATAAGTAACTACTTTTCATATAAAGTTTTTTAAAAAGTTACGTAAAATGATGGCTTTAAAAAACAGTCAAATTTGATATATTGATGGTCTATATTTTGAGGTAGTTCTTAGCACAGGTTTGACAATGTTATATACAAAAGTCCCATCAAAATGATGAAAGAGTGAAGATGAAAAGATGGATGCTACTTTGTCAACATGAAATTACTTAAAATAGTATGACAGTCAGATGCTACCCGTATATTTCATAACAAAATAATAATGTGCCTCACCATCTAATACAATATTTTACAGCAAAATAAAAATGTGCATTACGGTCTAATGCAATATTTTACAGCAAAATAATGTGCATTACAATTTACCACCTACAAAATCATAACTATGGCTTTCCAGCAGATCTGAGATGATTACAGTGCAAAAGATTTTTTGAAAGAAAAAATAAAACAGTGAATTTTTTTTTCAGATACAAAAATTTCAAATTAAATCTTTTAAGAGACTAATAACTGAATTATTCAAATAAAAAATAATCATGGAAGATTTGAATGCGTGATATGAATCTATGATTGATCATGCAGTTGCCATGAGCACAAAGCCAAATAAAAGGCGGCAAATACCTAGCAGCACTCAGATACCTAGGTGTTCTACTTTGAGCAGAGGCTACATTCTTTCTTATCTGTAACAGATTGTAATATAACAATAACTTTATCTTGACTCTTGAACATACATTTATTAACTCTGTATATTATAATTATTTCTGGAAATTATGTTTGTGAGATTGTAATAAAATTGTAACTTATCTTGCTCAGGCTGTAACTACCAAGTCGTAACTGATCATACTCATCTTGCGAAGACAGTAATTTAGAAAAAATTTAATATTATTTAAATGTTAAGCTGACAGCAACTTGTGAGATTCTAAGTAATTTATTGTAACTAAGCTGTAACTTAGGAACATCATAACTTATGAAGTTACTTGTAGGCAAGAACTTCAAATATGGTTGCAGAGCCTAACTTGTGTAGCTCAGGAAGTAACTTAATGCATTTTAATGTTTCTTAAAGTATTTCCTGACAGATTGCTACAATTGAAAGTAACCAAAAGGCAATAATATAAGGACTCATGAGGCTTGTAACAGATGCATAGTGCATAAACATTATTTTTCTGATGTTTTGTCGGGGATCTAAATTCATTCTTTAAATATTTTTCTTAGGTTGCACTGGGTATGAAATCACAATTGTAAAGATTCCATAAAGGTTTTCCAAAGATGTGTTGAAATCATCACTTGAAAGGTTCCTTTAAGTATTGTGCCAACACGATACTTTATTCTTAACAAAGTATCATTTAGAACATAATAATATGTCAAAAATCCATCCATTGACACAAACTTAAAATATTTTCATGCACGAACAGTGCCTTATATTTATAACAAAAGCAAAGAATAAATATATATTGCATACAATCATTCTATGAAGCATTTCATGCAATTAATAAAATACCTGTCATTTTTTTAAAAAGCTATGTTGCAATTTCATTACTTAAATACTATTGTCATTTATTTATTTTTCAGTCTTAATTTCATCTGGTATTTTTAGTTATATTCAAAACCTATAATCGTTTAGGTACAAATAACATGAACTATATTGTCATCAACTTATTATATAAAACAGTCACAGAAAAACATGTGCCATATCTTTGTGCCATATCTCATAAGGCCTAAAAGCCTAATGTACATAAACCTAAAGCTTAATCATTTACACTGAGCTGTGGGATATAATAAAATAAAAGTTATTTTGGTTGGGTTTCACTTCAAGTGATACAGTAATGGACATATAGTAACTTTCTGAATTAGCTGATGGAGGAAGACCTCAGGTGCCCTTTTAAGCATTATTTCAGTAACACTATGCAGGCGAGTAGAACCATCAACCTTTCAGAGTCCTCATGGATTGCTTCTATACATGAAAAAATTTGTAGTTCCAGACGAGATTCAAACCTAAAGCCACGATGATATCATTCAAGGTACAAAACCTGAACCACATGAATACCAATGAAAACATCTGACAGGTACTTTTATTTGAGCTTCTATCAAATGTATTATTCAATATTAGTTGTATTTGTAGGTTATATATGCCATTATTTTATTATATTGGTATTGAGGCACAGTGCATACACATGCTTTATATTTAAGTGTTATAAACTATATAAATTATACAAAAGCTATAAATAGTAACATGTTATACGCAATTTTAACATTATGCTATTGGCTTACTTGGTACATGATCTAGAAAAAATGCATTACACAGTGATAAATATATATGTTTCTATATATAGCACAATACAATGATCTGCCTAGAATACAGGGTAACTATCACCATGCCTACCTCCCCAACGTGCAATTTTTCAACAATCATGCACACATTATTTTTTGTATCGTGCAAGTAGATACAGAAGTGGGTGGGGTGCATCATACTCATTTATTAGAAGTCCTAGTTTCATCAAGATCACTAATGCTTTCATGAATAGCCGGATCATTTGCGACCATTTCCTGTAATGCTTCAGGGGCAAGAGGCGGGAACGTTTGCCGTCTTCCCCGAGCATTCTTCAGCCATAACCCTATTACCTGAGGTGATTTTGTTACATTTGATAAATCAATCTGCTAATATCATTAATATAGTATAGTAACTAAAAAGGTATAAACTCTGAACTTTGTGTGATAATATACCAACCTAATTGGCAAGTAAGTTAATAACCTTTTTTTCGAAATGAACTAAGCAAAGCTTAGAAATAATCACATAAAGCCTTCAAACCTATTCTTCCTTTTTAAAATCTACATTTAAGCCAGCAGAACATACTCAGTGACTATTTACCTTGAAAATAAATATTTTTCCTTGATTTAGTATATAGATGTATCACACATGATAAGAAATTTAATCTCAAGAGGGCTAGCTTGACATATGATATAAACAATCTTTGCAATTTCATGGATGAAATGTGGAAGTTATAGTACAACTATATCATGTCATTTTTCTTGAATTAATTGTTGTAAAATATGAGGACATAATAAATCAGAGAAATGATGTCATATAAAACAATATAATACCTGACTCCATCTATACTCCTCATCAAACTGTGCTATTTGTTTCTTTAATAAGATCCAGTCGGAGGCTTGTCTAGTTAAACTCCTTGATAGAGTCTGATGCTAAAATTATAAAAGAAAATCAATTATATCACATGGTATTGGTTGAAGTCAATGTTACATATATAGCCATAACAAATTTGTTATTATTTCACACCTTATAAAATGTAACTAATGAACTTAAGCAATCTTATAAATTTAGCCTCGTTTTCATTTCCCAAGCCCAAAAAATCTGTATCACATGCATATTGCACTGCGTCTAGCCTCATTTTCATTTTCTGAGTCCAAAAATTCCATATCAAATGCATATTGTTCTCAAAGAAACTACATCTTTAATATTACACACACACAAAAATGTTTGATTTTGAGTGTTTTTCATTTAAACTAATGTGTTTCCTCCTGAAGAATTGCTAATGTGAAATAAAAAGTTTGATAGAAACATTGTTGAGTATCATACTGGTTCTATTTGACTAGTACACAGCTGCAAAACCTATACAAGAGCCTTGTCCAATACAGGTTTAACAGTTGTGTACTTGTCTATTGGAATTCAGTATTATACTCAACAATTATAATAACCTTATATCGATAATAGTAAACATGTTTAAAGAAAATGGCCATATAAACAGTGACCTTGACTGCTGGCATATGTCTATTTTTAGAACTTCAAGTGTTTACTGAGTCTATTTGTACCTGATCTTTTTCTTTCTCTAGACGTTTTAAGAGATTTCTTCTGTTAGCTTCACTAGTCTCTAATTTATGCTGAAAAAGAAAACAATAAAGGTTAAAATTTATGTATTAAATAATGCAAGGAAATTACAATTTATGTTCATTGACATTCTTATTATGAAAATAAACTTTGAATTTTGAACAGTGTATTGTTAATGTGAGGAGCTGGTACCTCAATAATAATAATAATAATAATAACAATAGTAAAAAGTCTGGACGGACAGCTTGGATGTCATATTTCATAGGTGTCATTACAGTGATAGGGTAAATACATATATAAATTATCATAATACTGATCATTATAAAAAAAGATTATAATATAATGTATCTCTACAGAAAAATGGGGAATTGAGCTAACCAGGATCTGATCTCTGTCTTGCATAGCAAGTTTTGTTTGTCTGACCAATCTGTTATTATCTTCCTTTAGACGACGAATCTCACGTTTTAAGTCTGTGTTTTCTTCTGTCAATACCTGTAAATATAAATTCTTACATCATTTAAGCCAAAGAATCAAGTTATGATATAAATTTGGTATATAAATTGTTATTAATATGTCTTTAATAAATTAATATCACATTTGTAATAACTGTATGTAATGTAATAAAACTGAGCTTTATACACATGTCTGAAACATATCATACTTTAGATATGCTGTGAATAACAAACATTCAAAATGATACAAGTATACAAGTACTTACAGAGATGAAGCATAAAAAATTCATCAATTTGTTTAGAAAGGTAATAGATAGTTATATAGAATTTTATGACATTAGTTATAAGTATGTTCTAAGCGACATCAACACTGTAAAGTTTATATGGTGACTTTCCAGCTCACTCTTTTTATTTTGAAGGATACAATCGGCAGTATACCACTTCATGTAATATGTCAGGCACAAGCTGACACTGGTAGACTCAAAAAATTATATCATTCGCGCTAGCAAGATTGCAATTTGCTTTTTCCAATTATATACCTCATTTTTCCTGATAATATCATTTATTCTGATGCCACCACCGAGGAACGTGTATGATGACTCTTTATCCGGAAGTTTGGTGGTGTCCTCTACCGGAGGAAGATGTTCGCCATCTTTCAGATTCTTCCTTCTCTCTAACTCGTACAAGTTACGATATTTCTCCGCGAGATCCTGTGACCTGTGTAACTCTATCGTCATTTCTTTTAATTTTGTATCAGCTGTGAAATAAAATAAATATTTTGCAATATTTTTCCTCCATATGACATTAAGCATTTTTATCACCATGAAATAATGATCCCAAAATTTATACTTCTAATTGTGTTCTCCTCTTTGCTTAATTTACTATGTAAAAATTAAGCATTTGATTGACAGATTGTAGCTGCCATATTTACCTTTTGCATTTTTCTGATTGAAATAACAAAAAAAAATATTTTTTTTATTTACCTTGCCTTCTCATACATGTACTTGTACTTTAGTTTATACAAATTTATTTTAGTTTGATAGTGTTGGAAGCTATAAGCTTATAATTTAAACACTCTTGAATCTTTTCCTGGAACCAACCAGTACTAAGCAATGAATGTAAAGTTTCTTGCTCAAGGAAACAATGGCTATCTTAAGATTACTAGTTCGATACATTAATCACTCAGGCATGCCACCACTCACTTGTACTTTGAAAAATTCAATTTAAATACCTTCTTTGGCTTTGCGTTCAAATACTTTTATAAGCCTCATGGAGTTAGCACGTGACAGAGTTACATCATCGTGTAGACGTTTATTCTGCTGTGACAACAAACGTGACTCTGTCATTTTCTCGTGCAGTGTAAACTCGGTCTTCAGTTTCTGATTCTGTATTTCTACATTTTTCAGCAGCTGTGATTTAAGCTCATATGCCATTTCCTGGTCATCTGGATCTAATGGTTTCCTGTCATTAGTAAAATAAGTATGTATTTCATTAGATTTATATAAGCAATTTCCCTACTAAGAACAAATTAGCATACTGTCAAACAAGGAAATAGTCACGGTTCAGAACTGTTCACTAGGGGAAAGGTGCAAGCATATAGCTCAGTGTGTTATGAGCATTGCTCTGTTACCTTGATTCAAGGACAAATTCAAATATTGCAAGGGGAGTATGTCATGTTTCAGAATGGGAGAAGATGTGTAAGCCGACAGATAGATCAGTCAGTAGAGCTGCGGAATGGTGTTCCGAGGGTCCTGCGTTCGAGTCCTGGTCAGGCTGCACTTTTTTTTTACCCTATGATACAAATTATTAATATATCTAGGTTTTTCCTTCTACTACATAACAACAACTACATGTGTATAAGGGTCAAAGTTCACAGAAGTATTCAATATAATATCATCACATTATGAAAAATAAATTAGAGAAAACTACTTTTTAAACCCCTACTTTAGAGTAACATTGTAAAATAGTTACAATAACTTCAAATCTGATATGAGTTGTTCCATCACTGAAAATGCTACAAAGTGTCAGAACCTCTTGAATGTTTCATTAAAAAATGTGTTTGAAAGTCATGTGATTTGTTGGAAATATAATTGAGCCGCGTCACAACAAAACCAACATAATGCGTTTGCGACCAGCATGGATTCAGACGCACAGTCTGATCAGGATCAATGCTGTTCGCTTACAAACCCTATTACAAGTAGAGAAACTGATAGCGAACAGCATGGATCCTGATCAGACTGCGCGGAGGCGCAGGCTGATCTGGATTCATGCTGGTCGCAAACCCACTATGTTGGTTTTGTCGTGACGCGGCTCATATGTATACATGAGATACAATCAACATCAAAAGTTACACTTGTAAAACACACACAAGATATATACTACACACATTGTAATACAATACAATTCATATAAAAATTAAAAAAAGATATATGAATAAACAAAAAAAATACCATTTTTAATAAACATTTACATATAAAACATATTAACCCCAGAATGCATCATTATTCTGAGCTCACATACATGCATTAATAATTATTCTTAAATGATCTTATGTTTACATAATAGAAAACAAAATTTATTTTGACATTTTTGTTCAGGAATGACAGACAACAGTCTTGGATATTTCAACTTATACCCCCCCCCCGCCCCCAACGCAAATTAATGTACTCCTAAAACTGTCAAGGTCTAAGTTTGAACAAAATCTCATGCTTTTTAATGGTGTATTGTAATAGTCAATTATACTTAAAGAAAAATGTGATATTCAGATATGAAAATCTGAAAAGTTAAGACAGAGAAATATCATAAAATAGTATAAAAAACACATTGAGTTAAATAGCATCATGCAACTTATAATATTGTATACTACATGTACATAAGTATGGTTTATAGTCAATTTAGTCTGTGCTCATGCAACTAACTCACAAATATTTGTGTCTAGGTCGGAGGTATTTAAAATGAACAGTTTTCTTATTTTCACGAGGTGTCACTAGCAGTTTGGAAGCTACTGTCACAGGTTTACTACAAGTACATGTATTTATTTGTGACATATTTTCAGCATGACCGTATCTCCTCTTCAGTATAGTTGATCAACAGAATACAATCATTTATGACTAGAAATTTCTAATAATAGAATTTTAAAAGCTTAATTACATTCACAGGTAAATGACAGATTTTAAGTTTGAAAAATGTGACATAATACATTGGTAGCACGGAATAAGAAAATCACTATTCTAGAAGAATCATAACTTTAACCAATGTCCAAGCAGATTGTTTTTGTAACTTGCCGTGGTGCAAATTGTCCTGGACATGTCGATTATTTATCAAAGGGAATGCAAAATTAACTAAAATTAAGGACCCCAAAAAATACATCTTTATCAGACTGAATCAAGATAAAGGTTGGTCACTGTCAGGCATAAATTTGCAATTAACCCCAATAATGCTAAAAAACCTAAAGAAAGCACATAAAATACATAATTATTTGTAGGCCTTGGATAATACTTTCGTGGCAGATTTAAGAAACATAGAAAATTGAACATATATCAATTCTGTAAATTAAAATTATGTGCAGCTGTCATAACTTACTTCCTCTATAGATGTGATGGCAAAATAATAGTATACAACATAAAAGATTATGTAACATTACCAAATTAAACCTTGAGATTATTTTAGTGTTAGACTTAAAACACACAAGTATTGAATTGCATTATTAAGGATCAAACTGCTATTGTTAAATTACTTTAAAACACAAAATCATTACATAATAAACACTTCAAATTGTATTGTTTAAGAGGTTTGCATTTGCATGTATATCTTTCAAAAAGAACTGACTTGCAACAGTCTATATTACTTTTAGTCTATAGGACTTCAGTTTTCTTCATGTCTTTATATTTTAGAAAATGATATAGTAAGTGAGGTGCAGACTATTAAGAATATTGTAGGTTGGCGTCTGTTTATTTGAAACTTATGCATGCAAGCGCAAAATATATATATTAAACATATTAAATATTGAATATAATATTCCATGAATCATCTTATGTTTACTATAAAAATCCATGTTTTGATCTCCAAACGTTGCTTATATTACAATTTATACTTGTTATAAGCATTGTACGATGCTTTATACAAATAAACTTTTGGTATTCGTATCATGCAATATGCTCACAAGTTTTGTTAAGCCCCAAAATTGTACATAATTTCTATCAAGGTATATGAAGCCTGAAAATTAACAAAAAATAAGTGGAATATTTGAGTAGCTTTTGCTCAGACTTAATTAAGTTATTTGGATATTTGAGTAGCTTTTGCTCAGACTTAAGTTAGTGGGATATTTGAGAAGCTTTTGCCAAGACTTTAATTAGTGGGATATTTGAGAAGCTTTTGCCAAGACTTAAATTCGTGGAATATTTATGTAGCTTTTGCCAAGACTTAAATAAGTGGAATATTTATGTAGCTTTTGCTCAGACTTAATTAAGTTATTTGGATATTTGAGTAGCTTTTGCTCAGACTTAAGTTAGTGGGATATTTGAGAAGCTTTTGCCAAGACTTTAATTAGTGGGATATTTGAGAAGCTTTTGCCAAGACTTAAATAAGTGGGATATTTGAGTAGCTTTTGCTCAGACTTAAATTCGTGGAATATTTATGTAGCTTTTGCTCAGACTTAAATTAGTGGAATATTTATGTAGCTTTTGCTCAGACTTAAATTAGTGGGATATTTATGTAGCTTTTGCTCAGACTTAAGTTAGTGGGATATTTGAGAAGCTTTTGCCAAGACTTAAATTAGTGGGATATTTGAGTAGCTTTTGCTCAGACTTAAATTAGTGGAATATTTATGTAGCTTTTGCTCAGACTTAAGTTAGTGGGATATTTGAGAAGCTTTTGCCAAGACTTTAATTAGTGGGATATTTGAGAAGCTTTTGCCAAGACTTAAATTCGTGGAATATTTATGTAGCTTTTGCCAAGACTTAAATAAGTGGAATATTTATGTAGCTTTTGCTCAGACTTAATTAAGTTATTTGGATATTTGAGTAGCTTTTGCTCAGACTTAAGTTAGTGGGATATTTGAGAAGCTTTTGCCAAGACTTTAATTAGTGGGATATTTGAGAAGCTTTTGCCAAGACTTAAATAAGTGGGATATTTGAGTAGCTTTTGCTCAGACTTAAATTCGTGGAATATTTATGTAGCTTTTGCTCAGACTTAAATTAGTGGGATATTTGAGAAGCTTTTGCCAAGACTTAAATTAGTGGGATATTTATGTAGCTTTTGCTCAGACTTAAATTAGTGGGATATTTGAGTAGCTTTTGCTCAGACTTAATTAAGTTATTTGGATATTTGAGTAGCGTATGCTCGGACTTAAATTCCTTGAATATTTATGTAGCTTTTGCTCAGACTTAAATTCGTGGAATATTTGAGTAGCGTATGCTCGGACTTAAATTCCTGGAATATTTATGTAGCTTTTGCTCAGAATTAAATTAGTGGGATATTTGAGTAGCTTTTGCTCAGACTTAAATTCCTGGAATATTTATGTAGCTTTTGCTCAGACTTAAATTTGTGGGATATTTGAGTAGCTTTTGCTCAGACTTAAATTCGTGGAATATTTAGGTAGCTTTTGCTCAGAATTAAATTTGTGGGATATTTGAATGCGTATGCACGGACTTGAATTCGTGGGATATTTGAGAAGCTTTTGCCAAGACTTTAATTAGTGGGATATTTGAGAAGCTTTTGCCAAGACTTTAATTAGTGGGATATTTGAGAAGCTTTTGCTCAGACTTAAATTAGTGGGATATTTGAGAAGCTTTTGCCAAGACTTAAATTAGTGGGATATTTGAGAAGCTTTTGCCAAGACTTTAATTAGTGGGATATTTGAGAAGCTTTTGCCAAGACTTAAATTAGTGGGATATTTGAGTAGCTTTTGCTCGGACTTAAATTCGTGGAATATTTATGAATCTTTTGCTCAGACCTACCTCGGGCCAGCTGGTCCTGATGACTTTCGACCTAGTTTCTGGTTGACCTCTGTCTGGGCCTCCTGTATCTCTTTCTCCAGCTGAAAATTCATAAAATCTGGCTATATTTTACTTTATATTATAGAACTATTTAGGAGGGAAAATAAAATTAACAAGCAAATTCATTGAATTTATATCCCCCGCCGAGTACTGGTTATTACTAACACAACAACTGAAGACATAAGGCTTTATTTATATATCTATCAAGCGCGGAAACGAATATTGTTCTATATGCATACTGCACAATTAATCAAGGGCCAAAACTCTAAGTTAAAATGTCTGACTGGAACAAGGCAACTATATGCACATCTCCACTTGGTATTGAAGGTTCCCATAAAGTTTCGTTGAATTCCAGCCAGTAGTTGCAGAGAAGTAGCGCGGAAACAAATATTGTTCTATATGCATACTGCATAACTAATCAAGGGCCATAACTCTGAGTTAAAGTATCTGACCGGAACAAGCTGACCATATGCACATCTCCTCTTGATATTGAAGGTTCCCATAAAGTTTTGATGAATTCCAGCCAGTAGTTGCAGAGAAGTAGTGCGGAATCAATTTTTGCTCTATATGTATACTGCATAACTAATCAAGGGCCATAACTCTTAATTAAAGTGTCTGACCGGAACAAGGCGAGGATATGCGCATCTCCTCTTGGTATTGAAGGTTCCCATACAGTTTCACTGAATTCCAGCCAGTAGTTGCAGAGAAGTAGTGCGGAAACGATTTTTACTCTATATAGATACTGCATTACTAATCAAGGGCCATAACTCTGAGTTAAAGGGTCTGACCGGAACAAGGCGAGGATATGCGCATCTCCTCTTGATATTGATGATTCCCATAAAGTTTCGTTGAATTCCAGCCAGTAGTTGCAGAGAACTAGTCTGGAAACGAAATTCGGACGGACGGATGGATGGACGGACGGACGGAAGGACAACGCCAAAACAATATCCCCCGACCGATTCCATCCAGTAGTTGCAGAGAAGTAGTGCGGAATCAATTTTTGCTCTATATGTATACTGCATAACTAATCAAGGGCCATAACTCTTAATTAAAGGGTCTGACCGGAACAAGGCTGACGATATGGGCATCTCCTCTTGATATTGATGATTCCCATAAAGTTTCGTTGAATTCCAGCCAGTAGTTGCAGAGAACTAGTCCGGAAACGAAATTCGGATGGACGGATGGACGGACGGACAACGCCAAAACAATATCCCCCAACCGATTCCATCGGCGGGGTATAATTAACATGTTGTTATTATTAAACGTGAAATATTTAATGAGGACATCTACATGGGTGTGTTTTAAGCCTATCAACAAATTCATTAAACATAACCTTTCATCCTTTAAGTTTGACAAATGCCTGTTTATTTTCAGAATCTCATTTTCAGTAAAAGCATTTACACATCTTCAGTGCTTACCTGTTTCACAATTTTCAGCATTATCATTTTCACATTTTATTTTACTGTAGTAACTATCCCAAATTTTAACCCTTAGCCTGCTTGAACCAAGTGATCAGCCCTTCCCACCAGTATAGAGCCAGGCCAGCTTGCACATTCGTGCAGTCTGACCAGGCTCTATACTATTGGCATCTTAACTTTTGTTTTTGATATTGAAATCCATTGAACTTTAAATGGACTGTTTCAACTTCAAAGCTGGACAGATCCATCATAGAAATATAGCATGTCAAGGGTTAACTATAATCAATTTCACATTTTTTGTGGTACCTGTTTCACATTTTGTAGAGCACTTTGTAACTGGCCCTCAAGAGTTTCCAGGTTTGCTTTCGCATCCTTCTCTTTCTTAGTAGAGTCTATTTTTTGTATACTCTGAATTACAGCTTTGTTCTGTTCATCAAACTGCTGGATACTGTCTTGCAGCTTCTGTAACCATAGAAATAGAAAAAAACATTAAAGGGAGGTAATTTTGAAATCAAATTACAGGAGGTTATCTTAGTAATACATATTTAACGGAAAAGGTGATTCGTTGTTTTCCTGTTTTTATTATTGTTGAAATTTGTTTTGATGACATCTCAGTCTATGCATTTTTCACAAACCTATTGCAGTGATTATATATAGAAGCAAGGGAGGTAACTGAATATAATCAGGAAAACATTATTACAACAGCTATCAGATGAACAATATGCTTGTTTATCCTTATTGCTTGAAATACATCAAAAGGTGTGCAGATATTTTCATTTTTCATATCTATAAATGGAATAATTTAGTGAAAATCTATGCAAGAGTTATGGGTCTTGGACGGCAATCTACCAATATATCTTCACACAGCCAAGTTCAAAATAAACATACCATAAAAATTTATTGTAGATTATGGTTCAATGCATGGAGCATTGACAGGTCAGAAGAAATTTAAAATTCACATACAAAACTTTCTGTGAATTTTATATTAAAATGATCAAGACTGTTATGTACTATTTAAAACTTGAAGCTAGGTGTTCACAGACACAAACATACATGAACATGTTTGCAACTTTAACAAATTTTATCAAAGGTATTTTATGTTGACTACGATCAAGGTAATGTTGAAACAGTTTTAGCAAATTTGATTAAAAATGTTTTAAAAAAATGTGAAAAACACACCAAACAGTGAAATACAAAGCAGGTTTTTGAACATATAGAGACATTCTAGACTTTAAATTGGCCATTAATAATTGATGTAAAGTTTAAATACCTATTTCATTATAAAAGGTAGAATCATTAATTATACAGTCTTGACTTTCTTTTCAATAATTGGACTTTTGTTAACACAAAAGCTATTAATGTCCAGGTTTTGTATTAGTAAACAGGATGTGGGTTTTCATTACTGTATTACACTTTTAAATGTTTCTTTTACATTGTATATACATTTATAAATTCAAAAGTATCTTTTTTCTAAATTAAACCCTTTTTGGTGATTTTCTATAATAGGGCTGCCTTGCTTTAAGTTTATATTGGGACATAATATTATGTCAGTTAAAATTTTTAGGAGTTTCAATGACAAATCTTTCAACAAAACAACGAAAGTCTGGTCCTACTACATAGCTGAGCAAGATGACTTAGCTCTACAGTTCTGGCTTAATTAACCTGACAAAATGAAGTCAGTGAGTCGGACTGTCACTGTAATAACTTAAAAGAAATATACTTGAAACTTTTCAAGACATTTTATGCTAAGAATGCTAAATGATTTGCCTCTGTTTCAGCCATAATGACAAAAAATTCACTCCATTAGTCTTAAGATTGACTGGATCATTTTAAGATGTAATTGCCAGCTACAACATCCATGTTTGGTTAAATGTCTCCACTATAGATGTACTATTATATGGGCTTAAAATACGCACTACCTAATAAAATTACAAAAACTGTATCAGATCAGGATGTATACTAAAAATTATTTCATTTCATAAAAAGAAATTATCATTCCAAGAAAATGTGTGATTAAAAGTGATTGAATATATAATAATATATATATATCACAGTGAGTCTATGATAATTTGTAATAAATATAGGTGACAAATAACTGTGTATGTGAAACTGTGCACACTACCTCAAGGTCACCATAATCTGTTTGTGGGCTTGTACATTCCTACATGATGAATAAAAATCACTATGTAACAACAAGTTTACCTTAAATACAAGTATAGGATTAAGAATTTTGGACAGAACATTGTTAAATAATATGTTACACAGCCATGTAACTTTTGAAGAATTTTGGACAGAACATAGATAAATAGTATATTATATACGCATTTAACTTTCGTCTTTAAAAGAAAATTATGCTGATACTGTTAATTGTTTTTTTTTCCAATTATTAATTCAAATCAATTTAGTTTTCCTCTAATAATCAATTACTGCAGTATACATGCAGTGCATATAGATTCATTGTCATATAAGTTTTTTCATAAATCTAAATCAAAATATAGATAGAGCTTAAACAAGAAAAGTTAAAAACAGAATATTGAAAAGTCAATTTATGTAATATAGGTACTCATTCTTCCCCATGACCAATTTTCATTAGAATGCCTTGCCCCAAGATGTTGTCACCTTGTCTGGGCCTATGTTCAAAAAGGCTTTAAGCTAGCCCATTAAATTTTGCACTATGGGTTTTTTATTATGTTGGTCACCGGTAAAGACAAACATCTATGTTATATCAGTTTGTAAAATTGGTCGGTCTTGTAGTAGAAATATTGAGACTATGCTTTAAGCCAGATTGAGCAATTATCTCACCCTAAATACACATCTGCCTTGCTTAAAATTATCTATTTCAAACTTTTATCTCACTTTTAAACCTGTTTTTATCCTTCTTACTAGTGGCGTGCAAATTTTAGGTTCCCAGCAGGGATTTGAATAAATGGAAGATGATATACATAGATTGTAAGATACCACCGTAAAACATTCCGAATCATACTCCTACTCCTATAGTACTATCTATTTAGTAATATAATACTTAAATTTATTGTTAATTGGGAAGTACCAAATTTACAGATACTAAATTTAAGTCAAAATATTTTGATGTTCAAACTAGATTCTTAGATCTTTTTGTTGTGGTAAGATTCCACTTCCATTGCCCATTTAAATATATGTTAAACAGTGTTAATAGCTCAATAATCTCAACGTGTGATACAATTTGTTGGACGAATATGCATACATGTGATATTTTTTCAACGTTCAAGTGTGGGAAATTTACTTCAAAAAGACGGAGATTTTAGAATTTACAATAGATATAAAAGGAAATTTTAAAACGAAAAAGAGACAGATTTTATAATTTTGTGAAAACACCCCTTATTTTAGAAAAATTGAAAAATTTGACAGCCAAAAAGGGAGTCTCCCTCTTAAATAGAGATATCACATGTATAATTATGGAATGACTTCGCTATACACCTGGATCAATTTATATAGAAATAATTTTGTAAATATGTCACGATGATGTACCTTTTGTACAAATCTGGTAAATATATGTTTTATTCTATTCTGATCAAAATCAAGGGTCTATATATTCCTGGATAAATACACTGACATCATTGGCACTTATCAAAGACAATAAATACATGACTTTTACAATTCATATGGAGTATTCAGAGGTATACAGTAAATAGTGTTACAGACTCAATCATTAAATTGCGTAAAGAGTGAAAACCCTCTGTTTCTTCATTCATGTTTAACCGAGAATAATTCTACATTCCCCACCCACCATAGCAAATTATGTAAAAGGAGCACCTGCACGGTTAATCAACAGATATAATCCGATACAAAATACAATGTCATGGTTAATTGAACGCATAATAAACCTACCTTATAGTTATCTTTTGTTGACATTATGTCATTCGATTAATTTAATTCAGACTCCAGAAAGCATCGAGAAAATTAAACGTATATGACACCTTTCCTTTTGTTTATACTGTTGTGAAGTAATTGCCACTTCCGGAAAGGGAGAATACCCGTACTTTACTAAAATTAGACTGCAACAAGTATAGAACAGATTGAGGCCCTTAGTTTGAAAGAATTCATTTGCATTTGAGTTTGATGATTATTTAAAATCAAATAAACATAAGAATATAATAAACATACACATAGCAGACCCAGAAGATAATAAACCAAACCAAGCCAACTTTAGCAATAACTATGACATTAAGTTCCCTGCCCCCTCCCCAACTAGTAACAATCACATAGTAAAATCTCTGCCAACTGTTTCCAAATTGCAAGACATTCTCTGTCACTGATATTTAGGACTTAAAACATTTTAAGCCCCAGATGATATCAAAAAGGACACTAAGAATGTTTTGTATTTGGTTACCATCTTCTGTCCTCAAATCCCAAGTCAGATTATTTGCAGACGACACTGCTGTATACCTAACCATCAATTCCTCCTCAGACCCCCCAACTCTCCAACATGATCTAGACAATATGGTTCTGTGGGAGAAGCAGTGGGACATGGAGTTTAACCCTTCAAAATGCCAAGTCATCCATATCACCAAAAATAAGACCATAATTAAACACAAATATATGCTCCATGGCCAAGTCCTAGAGTCTGTTACAAATGCTAAATATCTCGGACTAGATCTATCTGCTGACCTTAAATTTAATACACATATATCTCGAATAACTTCCAATGCAAACAGATCCCTTGGCTTTATTAAAAGAAATGTCATCACTAAAAATGAGAAAGTAAAAGAACTAGCATACAAGTCCCTGGTCCGCCCACAGGTTGAATATGCCTCATCTATTTGGTCTCCTTATACTAAAACCAATATTGACAAAGTTGAGATGATCCAGAGACGTGCAATAAGATGGGTTAAAAGGGATATTACTCCCCTCACTCTAGTGTCACAGCCATGCAGGAAGAACTGGGCTGGCGATCCCTTGAACATCGCAGACTGGACTGTAGACTGATAATGTTTTATAAGATATACCATAACCTAGTTGCAATTAATCTCCCAACTTATGTTCAAACCCCACATAGATTAACCAGACATATGCATCCCTTATCCCTACGTCAAATACAGGTATCCTCCGACTACCATAAGTACTCTTTCTTCCCTCATAGCATTATACTATGGAATAAACTTCCTAGTAACATTGCCACCCTGCCCAACCTGAGTCAGTTCAAACAGGCAGTGGTGGGTTTGCAGTACTAGTCTTACTCCAGTGTTTTTAAACTATTTTATCTCTTATCATCTTGTTTCACTATTAACATTTTAACCATGACTAGAATACATTTTCAGTCTTACCTTCCAAGCATGTCAATGTTTGGACTTTTCTTTTTAGCTTTTCTCTTCACCTTTTACTAACAATCCGACGTGCACTAAATTCCTGCCTTTAACACTCGTAAGAGGGGTTGGCAGTATCCAGAGATAGATAGATAGTATTTTCTTCATTTTGATTTTTATTAAAACACATTCCCCGTCTCCTACCATTCAACAATATAATATTATTTATTAAATCATTATGGATGTACTTGTTGTTTCCCTACCCTAGCAGTTTTCAGGCCGTTTATCATTTTCGTCCAGTACAGTCTATTTTTACCAGTAAGGCATCCACATTACTTCATCAATCAGAGAAACATTTGTTTTCTATGCTCAACAGTATTTAAAATAGTACAACGATTTATATGTTTTGAAGTTTTGCCTGTTATTATTTAAGTTACATAAGAGAACTTGTGACATTCAAAAAAAAGCAACACCTGGGGAATTCTAGTTTGAATATCCATGCGCAATAACGAAGACCCAATTTTAGGTAAATCAATACTTCGGAAAATATTTTTGCAGACAACACAGAAAAGGTTGGGAAGTTCTGTTTGTCTTATAAAATCTTCTTATAATATTGCTTTATGGTACTGAATTATATTCAAAATAAAAAAGGTCCGGAAAACTGCTATGAATTTTTTAATAAAGGTGAAAAAAGGTGTTACATTTCAGGCCTATATTCAAATGAAAGTGCAACATTAAACACATGGCAATGCTGGACAGGTACCTAACTTTGTCCTGTCAAAGTTTTGTACCCCTCCGTACACTGATTTTTATTTCATTTGTTAAAATTGCGATTTGTGGCCGGAAACTGCTAGGAAACCAGTATATTATATTGTGAGGAAATAAAATAACTGCTGTCATCATGCAGGGATGGCTGCAACATACTCTCAGTACATATTGTGTGGTAAAAAGTTGACCTAAATTCAGGAAAATCTTTCAAAAGTTGCATATATAAAACAAATATGGAATGTAGGAATAAACATTTTACCTTCAAGTAGAGATCTACGTATTTAGAAAGGCTGCAACATTTGAATTTCATAATTGTGTGACCTTGATCTTTAGCCTGTTTGGTTGCCATATAATAAATTAATTATAGTATCATCTTAAGAGGTAATCTGACACTTATTCAAAGGGACTAGACTAATATACTACAAGGTGATATGGAGCAGTCCAAATTGTCAGGTAAGTTATCTATGGTTCTCTAGAGCCATGTGAGTGATCTGGGAGTGATCTCCATGGATCAGGTGATGGCCATTCCTATAATCCTGCTCCATTGCAGAAAATTAATGAAAAATAAACATCACAGTTTTGTCTAAAATATTTTATTGTCATAAATTGGGAATATTCATCAATATATACAAAATCAAATGTTGGTCAAACACAAAAGTAATCATGAATTACAAAACATAACATTATCTTTATTCTAAATAATTATATGAATTAATATTCTTAATTTAAACAAGAAAATTAACATATTAATAGAAAATGTATTGATTGCAACATGAATCAAATTGAATCAGAATGTCACTATCATTGGTATCATGTGCATTAATAAAACTCTTGATGAAATTTCTTCATTTCAACTAATGATATACTTTGTAATTCTTATGTAAAATCACGGCTTTAATTATAATGAAAGCCTTGGTCAAATGCATATAGGGTTTTAAATAAAAATAACTTGATACAATATAAATAGAGGATATTCAAGTTTTTTCTATAAATACATGATTTATTTTCATCGAGTGGTATGAAAATAAATATTTCATGAGGGGCGCTGGGGACGAGTGAAATATAATAATTTTCATACCACAAGATGAAAATAAATCCTATATTTATTTAAAAAGAACTTGAATTTTCTGTTTATTGTATATATTTTTCTTTATTTTGACATTACAATTTGAAAAACTTTCCTTACGTTTTGTGTATTGGCTAAATTTAGAAGAAAGTAGTCTACCAAATACAGAAAATATGTTTCACTTTAGTGAAAAATAAATTTTAGGAAGTGAAAATACGGAAAATGAAAATACGCATTTTATTTCATCAATATTTCTCAATATTTCATTTATAAGTATATAATAAATCTATATATTTTTTTCTAAAATTCTTGAATTTTATAACATTATGTGGATAATAATATGACATACAATGTATTCCTGTTAAACATATTGCCAAATAATCTATATTTGTTATACTGAAAACAGCTGAATGCATCTAGTAAAAGAAGATGTTAAATGAAAATGATTTTAGTGATATCAGAAAAATATAATATAAACATTAATTTCCCTCATAGCTTATCATATCAGATATGTATTTAAAACATCTACAATATAAAAAATTATTATAATACATATTCAATTACAAGTACATCTTGCAAAGCCCATATTAATAAAAAAAACACTTAACTTTTCTGATTAAACAATTATGCTGAAAAGAGCCAACATATGATCTCTGAAATTAACTTTTTTGAAGTCATGACATTTTAAGGGTCCCAACCAGGTCACTTCAATAAAATTTACTGATAATTGAATTCATTGCCTATGGATAATAATTAAGAACACAAAAGATAACTTTTAAAATAAACCATTATTACAACAAAAAGGAATTAAAAAGTAAAAAAAAAAGATTCATAACAAAATAAAAATACTGAATGTACATAATGAATATATTATTTATCACAAATACTGTAATATGTGTTAATGAATCATCAAAACAAAACAAACAAAATACGGTTTTATAATTAAAATGTACATTAAAATTTCTATTATTTCCATCATATGCATATGTCACGGGTGTTAAATGCCTGTTTTAAATGACTGAATAGTAACAGATTTGTGATAAAATCATATTCAGTCATCGCTAATATTGCTAATAGATTTTTTTGAAACAGATTTTGAAGTCAATAATCAAATTATCCTCAATAATTAAGTTTTCCTCCTATTTATTTTATCCCTACTGTATGTCTCTAAATCATGGAGAGAAGAATATAACAATTCAGAATTTTGGTGATATCAAGATGAAAATAAGTATTGTAAGTAAATTAATATACAGGCTATAAGAGCATTCATTCTGTTTAAAATATTTATAACATATAAATGCACATTATAGAAAACATTCAAATAATAATTTCTGAAATTAAAGATTTCTGATTTTTTTTTCAAATGCCAAATAGCATAAATAAAAAATATGGAAAGAAAAGCTATCATGACAGCTATATATAGTCTAATACATTATCCGAAAGTTTCTTTATTCTTCTATAATTATCATACAAGTAAAAAATATTTTTTGCAATTGGATGTAAAAACCATTGAAAGAAAAAATACAGTTATACAAGTATCTCTACATAAAACTATAGTACTTAAATTCACTGGGTTTTTCAATGAGATATTACTTTCATTTACAAACAATAATTATGATACATATGCCTAGCACAACATTCTACCATTTTTACATCAATACACAAAATATGTAACTGTTTAAATTATAACCCAAAACATTCAAACATGAACAAATAAATAAAATCATCTAAACAGTGAATGGGAGAACATCCCTTTTTCATGCACTCTTCTGCAGTCTTAACAAATATGATTTAAACAAAACAGGTAAACAAAACAGATAAACATTTCAGATAAACATTTCAGATAAACAAATAGATAAACAAAACAGATTAATATTGAGATAAACATTTCAGCTAAACAACATACTACATGTATATAAATGTGTGCACTTCTCTGCAATATAAATAAGAAATAAATATAGATCAAAACATAAAATATCAAACAAATAATACCTCTCATATTTCACATTTACAAAAATGCTGTCATTTAAACAGACTAAAATCCCCATATTGCACAATCATAGTTTAATATGTCTACAAAAAATGTTCTAAACAATTTTCCCATTACATGCATTTTGTTTTATAAATGATTATCAATAAAATTATTTAAGGCATAATTTCTGCAAATGGTATTTTGTTATTAAAAATAGCTACAGAGATGTCTATGGTATCTAAGCTTGTTCAGAAACCCTTTGGTCTTTCAATGTTAGAATGCTACAAGATAAAGAAGTAAGTTCATCTTCTAATTCCACTATATCATAATACATGTAATATTGTTTAAATTATAATTATAAATTCATCTCTTTTTTTTTTTTTGGTTAGTTTTGAGTTGCATCTTATCATAATCTTCATACGACCACTATTCAGTATTACGGTGGTGGTGGTCTTGATAGTTTTCACTCCGGATCACAGCAGTAAGCCATACTGAATTTACCAGAGCACAGTTCAGCCATCACATCGTTCCTGGGTAAGCTATCAAGCAGTTTACCAGTACCAGTTGTCTTGACTTTCTTACTTCTGTACTTGCAAGAGCAGAGGTACAGTGCGAATGACCGTTGAAAGAATTTCAAGATCAATTACAACGAAAGTCATCTGCGCCCCCGGGAATCGAACTCGAGTTGCTCGATTCACTTTCAGCATTACTGCTGGAGGAACACCTCAAGATCTAAGGTCAAGATACATTATACATCATTGAATTATAAGAGGCATACACTGTAATAAATTTTAAACAAACGACAAAAGTAACAATATGGAAAACAAATATAGCATATTGCAAACAAAAAATGAAAATTGCACTTTCCCTAATGCTTAATTATGTACAAACTTATGTATTAACTTATCAAATGCATTCAAATACAAAACTCAATTGTGGATTTTACTCAAAACATGTGAATTCTAACGTTACACAAAACAAAAACTTATAAATTTTGTGATAAAAAAGACGTTGATCATGTCAAGGTTCTTGCATTATATTTCAGTTTACTCTTCAAATTTTTGATGATGTCATTCACCCTTGTAAAGTCATTAAAAAATCAATCAAAAATTAATCAAAAATCAATTTTTGCTGTTGTTAAATTTATAATAGCATGTAATAACAAGATTCTTACTTTTATGATCATTTTCAAACGGGCTGGTTTAACATTGGTCTTAGCATTGTTATTAAGCTTGCCAAAGGCTCATTTTCCTAGACACACAATTGAGCCGTGTCACGACAAAACCAACATAATGGGTTTGCAACCAGCATGGATCCAGACCAGCCTGGGCATCCACGCAGTCTGATCAGGATCCATGCTGTTCGCTTACAAACCGTATAACAAGTAGAGAAACTGATAGCGAACAGCAAGGATCTTGATCAGACTGTGGTTTTGTCGTGGCTCAATTATAAGTTCATAATAAAATGACAACAAATGTCAGATCATATGTAGATCTACATGTTCGCAGACTGGTCCATTACTAAGATACACATGTATCATCATATCATATATAAATGGATCTAGGTTAAAACGTAAAGGCATTGAGATAATTTAGGTTATTAGTATTTTAGACCGATGCTTTTGTCTCCTTATAGACAGGATTTGGTTGTTTCTATAAAGTTTGTAAAAATAATATGTAATAAATGCAGTGCCTATGTCTATTTAAACAATTTATGTGCAACTATTTGTTAGTATTTTGAAACTTTAATGATTTAGCTGCTTGTAATTAAAAATTTAAGCAGTGTAAAAATGAATAATTAATTGATTGAGAGAGAAAAAGAAAGAAATTAAGACAGAAATTTTCTAATTATTCTGCATATGTTTTAAGACACATAATTTGAAATAATAACCAAAACAATAATACAAATCAAACACTAATTATTTTATATATTGAATAAAGCACATTACAAAATTGTTCTATTCAAACACTTTCCTTACCTTTTAATATTCTTTAAATGAATTCCTAAAGTTTGCTACATACTTAATTCACCGAAAAGCAAAAGGTGTTTCAATTAAAAACATGTGTTATATTTTTCAAAAACTCATAAAATAAACTTGATATTGAAGATATGCCGAGATGGTAGATGTTAGAAACATAATGCCATCAATGTATTAAAGTTAAATGATTTTTTTTTAAATTTCAGAAACAAAAATCTAGATATTTTGTTGTCCATACTAAAGTTTAGGTGAAATTTGATTACAGTCACTGTCCATGCTTATTCATACTTTTCTTCAATTTCAATAAAACAAATTCCATAAAAGGACTAATATTTTCATCTTATATTTATTAAAAATAACAAACAATCATACATACTTGCACATCTAAAGTACATGTATTTATTATTATCTTTAAATAAGCTTATTAATGTACAACTACATAGTTACACAAACTGAAACAAATATATAGTTAAATATTTCGATGGCAACTATAAGGAATGACTAAGGCTTTATAATAAATTGCACATGAATGAAAATGCAGAAAAATGGTGAATTCTGGTGTCATTGATTAAATGATTAGTTAATACAAGAGTAAATTAATAAAACACTTATACTGATTAATCTGTATTTATAATGGAATTGCCCTTCATTGTTTTTGAACAGTCAATTCAAAGAGTATTTGACAAGGTTTTTGTTGTTTGTTTTTTATATAAAGTAATATATTATATTTTGTGTTTTCATGTATGCATTTTGAAAATTTTAATGTATAACCATGATGTAAATTATGTTTATTTTGTAAAAAAAAATTTTGAGGCCCAAATGGAAGATTGGGTGCCCAAATGTGTCTTAGCCTCAGTAAATATACTTTTCTTACTAGTCTACCAAACATCACAACTGTTTATATATATCAAAACCAGTTTAATCAATATAACTAATTATCTAAAATAATTTGATATACAAAATTCATCTTTTAACATATAAAAAAAAGAAATGTCTCCAAAACAGAACAGCAATAGATACTGGAAACCTATGCAAAAAAGTACAAAATTATCCACATTTCTTGGATGCTAAAATAATACTATAATTTTTATTGTTACATTTTAATGAACATAATTTCCTCTTAAAAGGAAAGCTACATTTTAGAATGTATCTTAATTTGATTTCAGTTGCAGATTCACAATATTGAAAATGTAAATCATTCTTTTCAATATATCAGCATCAATTGGTCTCTGGAACCTTCAAATTTGATCATGACAACTGCTAATATTTTTCCACCTCTGACTGTTACTTTTAGCAGGAATAATGAATCTGTGGAACGTTATCACTGGATACAGAAATTTGCCATGGCAACACAGCTGTCAATCAGTATCATACAAATGCCTGAAAAAAAATTAAAGACCCTTTTTATTGTCTTTTAACCAAATCAAACTGATATTAATTGATTTCATAAAACAGATGCAAGCAGTACCGCCTAATTTTCTAAATTTTTAAGTACATGTATAGACAACACATAGTAACGACAGGGAAGCCCGCCTACTTTCCCAATTTTATAAGTATAGACAACACATAGTAATGACAGGGAAACCCGCCTACTTTCCCAATTTTATAAATATAGATAACACATAGTAATGACAGGGAAGCCCGCCTACTTTCCCAATTTTATAAGTATAGACAACACATAGTTATGACAGGGAAGCCCGCCTACTTTCCCAATTTTATAAATATAGACAACACATAGTAATGCGAGGGTAGCCCGCCTTCTTTCCCAATTTTATAAATATAGGTAGCACAATATCACAGTCATGACAGGGAAGCCCGCCTACTTTCCCAATTTTATAAGTATAGACAACAAAATGGTAATGACAGGGAAACCTGCCTACTTTCCCAATTATATAAGTATAGACAACAAGCGGTAATGACAGGGAAGTCCGCCTACTTTCCCAATTTTATAAGGAAATACAACACATAGTTATGACAGGGAAGCCCGCCTACTTTCCAAATTTTATAAGTATAGACAACACATAGTAATGACAGGGCAGCCCGCCTACTTTCCCCCAATTTTTTTTATGTATAGGGAAAAACACATATTTTAATAAAAGGGCAGCCCCCCCTATTTCCCAATTTTAATGTAAAAAAGAAAACAAAAAGTAATGACAGGGCAGCCCGCCTACTTTCCCAATTTTATAAGTATAGACAACACATAGTAATGACAGGGAAGCCCGCCTACTTTCCAAATTTTATAAGTATAGACAACACATAGTAATGACAGGGCAGCCCGCCTACTTTCCCAATTTTATATGTATAGACAACACATAGTAATGACAGGGCAGCCCGCCTAAAGCCTGCTTACTCCCCAATTTTATAAGTACTAAGGCTCCACTGTGTAACTGTTAACCAAATAAACTTAAAAGAATGGCATTATGTCATTAGGTTTCTGTATTAAAACATTTCTATTTGCCTGACACAACAGAATATATTCTCAGAAATAAAAACATTTGGACAGGATATGGCTGATGAAATTACATGCTGTTACATGAGAAATTCACAAACAAATGAGAATTGATTAGAATAGTGCAGTCCTTTCAAACTGAGAAATCAGTCGCATCTGTTTAATGGATTACATCACATTATATCTCAATTAATTCAACTCATCTGTATATATTTCTTGTTGCCATGGCAACAAGATTTTGCTACATGATAAAAGATTAATACAGTGGTATAAATCAAGAATTCTTTTAAATCTATAAATATCTTAATTTTTTAATGTTAAAACTGTTTATTTCTGTTACTTTATTGGCAAATTCATAGCTTAACGTATAAATCATCTTTTTATTCTGATCATAAAACTATACGATTTCTATGTTTTATTGGAAAAGTTTACAGTTATAAAAACCTAATTATCACTTATCAAGCCAAACTTTGAAATTAGATTACAGCTTCTATCATAAATATTGACAATAAAAATCTAATTTGGAGTGGCACAGTACAAATCAATAACTAAGAGAATATTGAGATGAAAATATCATCATCATCTTGGATGGAAATATTCCAAAATATTATACAATATTTTCTTTGTTGCCATGAACATAAAGGAGAAAGGTTCTTACAAGTTAGGTATTCCAATCAAGGGTATAAGAAAGTCTTACACTGTGATAACTGGGGATAAGAAAATCTTACTGAACTCATTCATCCTTCATCACCAAAACAACATCACACTCAAACTATCTTTTTCATGTTTTTTTTTTCATTGTCATTTTTTCGCTGGCTTTTACTTCGCACCAACACAGTATAGGTCATAATATTGCTTTACTGAAGGAGAAAGACCATAGGTCCCTTTCTGCGCATTATTTCAGGCACAAATTGCACCCTGAGTAGAACCACGGACATTCCATAAGCTAGCTGGATAGCTTTCCCAGAAAACCCTTGTGCGGCTCAAACCTAGTGAGAGTCAAGTGAATTGAAGTTATTGCCCTTTACCACTTGGCCACAGACGCCCCACTTTTTTATGTAAAGAATTGTGAAGAAAGCATACAATGTCATGAACATATATGAAATGACTGATTATTTAAAAAAATAAATAATGTTTAAAAAATGACCTTGATAAAAAAAAAACATTTATAGATTGGTAAATTGATAGAATTTTATGATAAGTGATATTCAGTAAGGTATTTTAGAAATGAAGAGATACACAAACCAAATATAGTCTATATGATAATATAACCTTATAAATCACTTAATTTACTAATTTATTATTTTGTTTAATGGTGCACCAACACAGTCTGGGTGTCAGAACCAACAAAGGTAGTTTCCTAAGAAAATGAAAATGATGTATAAGGATATGTAAGCAAAAGTGCAAGAAGTAATCATAAAGAATGAAACTGATTATTGTAATAACTCTTTATAGTATACAAACTTTTTGTTCTGTTGAATGTTGTGGAGCTGATGGTGATATTTCCGAGCATGTATAGGGTGGGGGATGCTCTGAGTAGGCTGGGGGTTCCTCTACAGGTAATGGTGGGGCTGAAATGTACAAGACAAAAATAATCATTGTGCTCATTAGTTACAATATACACGAAAACACTTAAAATTAAACAAGAGAGTCAAGGTGGCTCTTTGATTTTGCCCCTTAATTTTACTTAATACATGTATCAGTCATTTTATTCAATAATATAATCTCACAATATAATCTATAATAATATATTATGATTTTTAATAATCTGGCCAATCAAAATTAAATATATAAGTATCACAAACATGAAATTCCCAGTAATTGTGATTACAATGTACTGAAAATTCTCAAGTTTTCTTTAGCCATCTATGAAAGTTTTATTCTATATTCTCTTATTTTCTTCAGCGTGAATGGCAAATTGAGGTAATCAAGTTTTGTAATTAAAAGAAAATAATCAAAGCCGCCTACTTCACCTGAATAACAGACATTAGAAAACAATAATGTAGAAAGAAATGAGTTCTTTTTAAAGTAAACAGCTTGGATGTGATAACAACAATCAAAAATCACTTATTAAACATATGGTGTAATACCTTGAATTTTAAATATCTGACCTCACAGATCTAGGTCATTTAGGGTTAAGATCATATTTCAATATATTGTTGTGAAAATTAATATCTTAAGCATTTACAGATCTAGGTCATTTAAGGGTCAAGGTCATATTTCAATGTTAATCTAGGTCATAAAAGGGTCAAGGTCACATTTCAATGTGTTATGGTGAAATGTCCTGAATTTTTAAAATTTAACCTTGCAGATCAAGGTCATTTAAGGGCCAAGGTCATATTTCAATGTAAATCTAGGTCATTTAAGGGCATATTTTAATGTGTTATGGTGAAATGGCCCGAATTTCAAGTATATAGGACTAACAATGCATAAACGAGTGATCTGAGTTCAAGTCACTGCCGTTCAACTGTATTTTACCTTGAAGATCACCTTCAGGACATATTTGGATGCGTCGAAGTGAGGCTCTAGTATTAAAAAAAAAACAAAAAAACTATGGGCTCTAGCATGTAAAGTATAAAGGTCAAGGTTAAAGTTACATTTAGTGAGAAAAGAATGATAGATACACATACATGTACAATCAAAGAAGAAAGGTAAAAACAAACACCCCCCTGATCTTGAATTATTGCAAAGGGCATAAAAAAATCAATGAAGTTGACTGCAAATACCTGTAAAAAAGTTTTAGAGGAAAGTTTAACATAATGTGTCTCAACATAATTACCTGTAAAACAGACAGCTAACAAGATAATTACACCAAAGAACACAAATCTACACACAGGTAAATATGTGACTAATTTCTCTTTTCTTTGTAGTTTTCCCCCCAAAATACATAAAGCAGAAAAAACGCTAAATATTCTACAAACTACATTATAAAACTGTCAATTATTATTATACACTTTCATAATAATATAAGTTATCATAATAATGCATGATGTACTAAATGATTCAGATATTATTTCATTTTGCCGAGTCTGTAAAAAGAGAAAGCCACATATTTCAACAGCATTAATGACAAATATGAAAGAAGGTAGTTCAAGAGGGAAAAAATTGACAAAGGGTCTTCAAATACAAATACTAGAACTAGCCTTGCAGTAATGCAGTTTGTATGTGATGTAGCAATGAGCATAATATATGTACCTTTAATTTCTACTGGTTCCCGAAATCCTCACACCATAAACACATTATAATAATTATAATACCCCATCTTGTCACTTCATGTACTTACATCAGACTAAAAAGTTCTAAAACTATCTTCTTATTATAGAACACTGGGCAAGGAAGGTTTATCAATATTTTCATGCTAGTCATTGGTAAGACCAATCAAATGATTGAACCAGTGCTACCCCAGTTTGATATTTGTTTGTATTTTTGTGCTAATAATTTTCTTGGGGGGTTGGAGAGGTGTTGACACCAATTTTAACAAGTTTTGGACAATCTCTATTGCTGATCCATGTAACCAGCTTTCCTGGATAACTTACCGATAATTACCAATTTTTCCACAATTGACCAACTACTAATCCCACAAGAAATCTAAATCAGCATTTACAGACAAAAGACCATTTGAGCCGCGTCACGACAAAACCAACACAATGGGTTTGCGACCAGCAATTGGATCCAGACCAGCCTGCGCATCCGCGCAGTCTGATCAGGATCCATGCTGTTCGCTTACCAACCCCTTTACAAGTAGAATAAAAGCACTGAATGTACTGATGGGGAGGCTATGACAGAATGTTTCAGACTTATAGTTTCTTTTCTTTTTGCTTAAAATGTGCTGTTATTTCAATTATTACCAAAATAAGAAGATATGCACATTGTGTCATTTATCCATACTGTTGTGTTCAACCATTCATATATATGGTTAATATGGTTGACTATTCATTTTGTTAATATTCCAGAACATTTCATTGAGGTCTACATTCGGACTGCTAATCCTGCAAATTTTGAAAAACCTAAACTGTCAATAATAAATGACATACCAGAAAGTTTGACGACTGTTCATTATAAGATAACAATAACATTTTACAACTGACTGTTCCTTATCAAAAATTTCTAGGACTGTTCATCATAAATACTTAAATGTCATTTTAATATCATTGAATGATAATAACAACTGCAAGTTATGCAACATTTTTATTGAACATAAAAATTATACATATTTACATGTCATGTACCATAATTGAGATCAATAAGATACTGTCTTGTGATGAGTATTAATATCCATGCTCTACGGACAGAAAGATGTCTTCTTCCGAAGCAAATCTGGGAATAAAATCACGTTTCAGAAAAATTATTCCCATTTCATTACTCATCGCTGACTTTGACGGCTTCGGATATTTATTAAAACTAAATATTTCTTGAAAAATACATATCTGCAAAGCTTATTCAAAGTTGAATCAACCTAAGTGAAAATTGATCAGGAAGTTATATCTTCTTTTTTTTACCGCCAACACTCAACCAACTTATGGTAGTTAATAGATAGATTCTACATGCATTTTTTAAACCTCACTAGCTTGAAATATAACTGCGGAAAATCTATTGTTAACAGGGTGTGCGGTTATTACGTAGGGTTTTCCTGTCGACCATTTCCGCAAATAGATGAGAACATCGAAGCGTCAGTGCTATGAATGGTGTTATAATTTATAAAATAGCGTGTTTTGGAAGTTTTTTGTTGAAACTTCTCAAATCCCTCCAGAGGCGTGCACGTCACGGAGAAGGCACACGGCAGGTCAAGGTCAAGTCATCTCAAGTACCAGAGGTGATTGGTTGTCCTTTCGTGACTTACTCTGGAGGTTTGGCGCTAATGAATGCCGTTTTTTTGTCGTCAGTCAGGAAGTTGATGCTTGCCAGTATTGTCGTCTTCTTTACCACCAACGAACGAAGAATGGGCTACCAGGAAGATTCGGCTTGAAAAAGACGTCCTCGATTCTATAATCTCGGACATATGGGTATTCCGGCCCCGAGTATAAATAAACTTAAAACACACACACTTTTATTGAAAACAAAACAAAACAAGATTGCATTTGAGAAAAATGCTATGCCACCGCATTAATACAACACTAAATAGTAGTGTAGGAACAGATTTTTTTTTGTTTCTATACAATTTTGTAGATTGTCATAATGCATAGATCCCTGACCTATCTAATTCTTATCAGATTAGTGGTTAAATCTGTTGTTAACTCAATAAAAGATCAGAGTAGGAATATATCAATGCACTCAAGTCTAGTGAATTTGGTGGTGAAGGTCATATTTCAAACAGCCTAAATTTCATGACTACATCAAAGGACAACACTGTAAGACACTTTGTCAAAATCTAGGTCAGCTGATATCAAAGTTCACTTTACATCTTAATCTGTGCACATGGTTCAAATTTCATAGCTGTACATCAAAGGACAAGAAAGTAGGTCACATCATCAAATCTAGGTCACCTGATATCAAAATTCAATTTTACAACTAAAACTGTGCACATGGTCAAAATTTCATTGCTGTACATCAAAGGACAAGAAAGTAGGTCACTGTCCCCTTTGGCAAAGCAAAATTTTGGACCCAAGGGTTTAATTCAAAACAATCTTGATACAGGTCCACCAAACAACATTTCAAGTCAAATATCTAAGCTGTAGCTTTCTCCATTCAGAAACATTTGTTTTATTTTCTGTTTTTACTATGTGTACATAATGAGAATCACTGCCCCCGGGCACGGCCAATTTTAACACCAGGGGAAAATTTCAACAACTTTGGTAGAGGACCAATAGATGATATATATAATATAGCAAACATCCAAAGCTCTATGCCTTGTACCTTCAGACAAAAAGTATTTTTTATTTTTTTACTATATGTACATAATGAAAATTAATGACCCCGGGCAGAACCAATTTTGACCCCAGGGCTATAATTTGAACAATCTTGGTAAAGGTTCACTTCGCAAGTCTCATGCCAATATATTAACCTCTAGCCTTTGTCAATTCTGAGAAGAGGATTTTTCAAGTTTTTACTTTATACATATAAGGAAAACTATCGCCTCTGGGCAGTGCAATTTTAACCTAGGGGCATAATTAAAACAACTTTAGTAGAGGACCAAAAGATAATACTATATACCAAATATCAAAGCTCTAAGCCTTGAACCTTAAGACAAGAAGATTTTTTAATTTTTTACTATATGTAATAGTGAAAATCAATGACCCCTGGGATGGGGCCAATTTTGACCCCAGGGCTATAATTTGTACAATCCTGCTAGAGGTTCACTACATAATGTTTCATGCAAAATATCTTAACTCTAGCCTTTGTAAATTTAGAGAAGATGATTTTTTAAGTTTTTACTATATACATATAAGGAAAACCTATGGCCCTGGGGCGGGGCTAATTTTGACACTAGAGGCAAAATTTGAACAACTTTGGTAGAGTACCTATAGCTGATATCATTTAACAAATTTAAAGCTCTAAGCCTTGTACCTTCAGACAATAAGATTTTTTTTTTATGTTTACTATATGTATATATTGAAAATCAATGACCCCCGGGGCGGGGACAATTTTGACCCCAGGGCTATAATTTGAACAATCTTGCTAGAAGTTTCACTTCACAATGTTTCATGCCAAATATCTAACCTCTAGCATTTGTCAATTGCTAGAAGAAATTGTTTTAAAAGTTTTTACTATAAGTTTACTATATACATTTTAGAAAAACCAATGACCCCCGGGGGGGGGCGATTTTGATCCCCGGCCTATAATTTTAACAATCTGGGTAGAGAGTCTACCAGACAATGCCTTATGCAAAATATCTAAGCTCTAGGCTTTTGAGTCTTTACAAGAAGGTATTTTAAGTTTTTCTATATGTACATATAGTGAAAATCAAAGACTCCTGGGCGGGGCCGATTTTGACCCCAGGGCTATAATTTTGAACAATCTTGGTAAGGGTCTACCAGACAATGCCTTATGCAAAATATCTAAGCTTAGGCCTTTTGGGTCTTTACAAGAAGGTATTATAAGTTTTTTACTATATCTATATATAGTGAAAATCAATGACCCCGGGGCAGGGCCGATTTTGACCCCAGGCGCTATAATTTGAACAATCTTGCTAGAGGTCTAAACCAGACAATGCCTTATGCAAAATATCTAAGCTTCTAGGCCTTTTGGGTCTTTACAAGAAAGATTTTTTTTTAATTTATTCTTATAATTCCTTTTGGTTGCCATGGCCACCAGATTTCTGCATGGAATGAAATTCTTTGAACAAACTTTGGAAGCCCTTCACCCAAGGATCAATCCTGCCAAGTTTGGTTGAAATTGGACAAGTGGTTTTTCACAAGAAGATTTTTTAAGTTCACTATATAATCTATATAACACACACACACACAAACAAACAAACAAACAAACAAACAAACACACACACACACACACACAGGTGAATCGCTATATGCCACCGCATCGCAGATGCTGCGGTGGCATAAAAACAACAACACATTTTCTGTAGTATTTTTTCAAGTGTTGTAAAATGAATACGAAATTCCTCTTATGCCGCCGATTATTTTTAGAACACAACTATATAAGTTTTTTTATTTGATTTATTCAAATAAACATTAATCACTTCAGCGCCCGCAAATATCGTTTTCAAATTAAAGTCTCGTAAGATATGTTGATGAATTCCCGATGCTAAACTGTAAGTCATTTGTATATATATATATATATATATATATATGCGTTTTTTGTTGTTGTTTTTTAAGCCTCTTATTCTTTAATATTTTTTATGTATCTCATAATCTGTATTGAAAATTTGAATTTTATTACACATGGACTAGCAAATTATGATGCGTTGCCCTAGAATTGAATAAACTTTCTAATTACACAATACGGATCATTCATTTGATTGAAGACTGATCTTTGCGTCTTTCTCTGAAATAATTATTTCCTTGTTAAAACATATTTGACCACATATTTCTGTCATTTAACTGTTCACTTTACAGCTATATGATATGGCGGTTTATGAGCGTTTTCCCGCGTACAGCCTCCTAGGGTGTACTAATAAGTTAGTTTTCCTTAGTTATCACGCAAGCACGATCCATGTCATTGATGTAAGCGACAATTTACCTTTATCTGTCTTTAAAAAATATTAAGGACTATTAATGTTTATATCAACAAAAGAACATGCATGATATTGAGACTACGGTGTTGCAATGTTCTAGTTAATGACCCGTCATAAACAGTTGGTCGCTGCGTAGTAATTCGAAAATTTGTTATCAAAAATAATAAAGAATATTTGCCACCTAATAAAAGCATTTACTTATAAATTTTTCATTTATGCTTTTTGTTAAAAAAATTATTGATAAAATTATTATGTAGAAGGGTTTTCATACCAGAACTATTTATTACAGACGTACGTATGCCTAAACCTGATTACCGCCGCCAGTATGACGTCACGGAGTAGTGATTTTGAAAAAATAACAAACAAAAATCAAGAATTTTTCAGAGAATTATTATCTGATATGAAATTATAAAGAATGAAAATATTTTTCATATTGTAAATGTCTGTGATGAGTGATCAGTCAGCTTAGAAAAAATCAAGGTACTATTTTTTGACCTGATTACCGCGGCAGTAAGATTTGACAGATGGTATAAACATTGGGTCGGCATAGCCTCCCCAAAAACTGATAGCGATCAGCATGGATCCTGAGCAGACTGTGCGGATGGGCAGGCTGGTCTGGATCCATGCTGGTCGCAAACGCACTATATTGGTTTTGTCATGACACAGCTCATTTGACTCAATGTCCAAGATCAATTATCACAGAGAAATATCACGATACCCTAGGACAAACCAGCAACCATTGCCTTTACTTATCTAAAGATGTCTTTATTGTACTTAGCAGTAAATCATGTTTTAAAAAGTAACACTATAGAACTATTATACCTGTGGGCTGTACAGGGACGTCTGTGTATGCTGTCCTAGAGGAGGCACTTGATTTTTGGCGGTATGGCATATTAAACTGTCTATTCTGACAACAGCAGCAGACAATGACAACAGCTGTCAAGATGACAATGACAATAACTGCTACTATTATTCCGATGATAACACTGATACTGACAATATATGCATCTATACCATCGGCAAAGGCATCGGCTAATAACAAGGAGAAAAGGGAAAGAATTAAAATTAATACGATTTACCTAAGATACAAAAATTATTGAGTACATGCACAATGGAATATAGCAATATAAACTTCATCTACCTGCCTTAAAGAAAACTATGTTGGATATCATTAACTGTGAAGACTGCTAAACTTTCAGGCTTTTCTTCTTAGAAATCACTGATTAATCGAGATTAAGCAGTCATAATCTTATTTTTACTATTTCTTAAAAGATAACATTGGTACAAGTACATGTCAATCTAAGTGATAAAGATTAAAAAGTATATTTATACACCCAAAAATAGTGATAATTCTGGAACTTACTATCACTATATTGTCGAAGCACCAGCTTGAAATCATACCCGTCATGTGATAACTCTCGTTTCTTCATCAGGACGGTCAAATATTTACCCTCACTACATACCATATCAGGAGTGCTTTCTGTGTGACAGTTATATGTTCCCTGACAAAAAGATTTTAAAATTAAAATCTAATGTTTGAAATTTATGCTAAAACATCAAACATAATTATACTCATGAAAATCAACACATACTTTCTACATTTTAAAACGTATAATTAATTAGACTTTGGCCTACTGGCAGCAACAAATATTTCCCAATGCAACCAGTTCAGACCAAGATTTGCCAGATCATCTGTACCGTCTGATCATGGTCTGCACTGTCTGCTATTCAGTACATAAATTACTTTATTTACCTTAACAAGTTATTACTTCATATTTTATAAATAACTTAATTTGTATACTGGCCAGGACCGTTCTCAAAATAAAAAATATAAAGATAAAACTTTGCACACATGTTCAGTCTTGTTTTATAATACTGCATGTTTGTAATGTCAATTTTCATTGGATAATCGTGACGTTTATATTATTTTATATACACAGCTGCTATCAATTTATCAAGAAATCTCACTTTTGTCTCTAAAAAAGAAGTTTGCAGTATAATAAATTCTTTATAAATATTCCTGACAGGTTATATGGCCGAATATAAAAGGTTGTTTGCAATATAACCCTTGCCTAGAGGCTCACGTTATATTTCCAAACAACCGTTTATTTAGGGCCATATAACCTGTCAACAATCTTTATAACTTATAATATACATGTATTCTTCCTTCATCTTTATGATTCATGCATGGAGCTCTTTATTGTCATATTTATCAATGATCAATAAACCTGTACAGTTTTATGTCTTTCCTGGCCTTAAATACCCGTCCTTACTACACAAACATTAATCATTATATTTAATGAAGCAATTTTGTGTAACACTGCTTAATTAAACAAGAACCACTGCCAAACACAGGGACACAACTGAATTTTTCTTATATCTAAATTAAAAATATTTGGCAGAAGAATATTCCGGTAAAGAAGTGTAGAATTCTAAGACAAACAAAAAGGAAGTTTTTAAAATATGAGGAAAATTCCATATTTAACCTTGACAGTCAAGGTCTTTTCAAGACAAAGGTCATTTAAAGGCTGAGGTCATATTTATGATATTCAGATTTGTTGTAAGTGCTATTTTGTCAAAAAACGAATCAAATCCTTTAATAAATAACAAACTTATGACAAAACGTATGTTAATGTTTGTGGATGGCAAGGGAAACAACAACATGACTCCTAAGCAATAGCTTTAACTTTTCTCTTTGGAAAAACCATGATAAAAATGTTTCAAAATTTGTTCCCATAACAATCTCTACAAGTTTCATGAAAATCAAGTACAATAAAAGTTTATGAAAAATAACGATATCTGCAAACAGAATCAGATAAGGCATCCTCTGTATAAATCATTTAATTCAATATTTATTTTCAGTCAACATAATATTTTAGATCTTGCCATCACATATCCAAATCTCATATAAATTTCCAATCAAGTCAATAAAATGCTCTTAATGGTTCCCAAACAGAATACACTTAAAAGGCAAATAAAACAATTTTCCAAAAAACTGAAAATAACTTGAGAAGCACACAACTAAAGTGCTTTAATGTTCTGATTTCCCGAGACTGTATTGAAACCAATCAGATCTGCAAATGTTATTAGTTTAGTTGTTTATACAAATCTATTTTAGTTTGATTGTGTTAAATGGAAGCTATAAGCTTATTGAAACACTCTCAAATCTGTTCCTGGAACCAACCAGTACTAAGCAATGAATGTAAAATTTCCTGCTCAATAAAATAATGGCTTGCCCCTGACACAGTTTGAACTCATGCGATCAGCAATCTTAAGATTACTAGTCTGGTGCAATATTTGTAATATTAATTGTAATTAAAAGAACGATATTCTCATTTGGAAGCAACCAGAAAAAACAACATGAAAACTTTACCAATGGACTGCCAGTGGAATCCTTATCAGAATAGACTGTTAATTTGACATCACATTTTGTTATCATAAAACTGGAAAAACTGAGACACAGTCTGTCATCCTTCATTGATTTAAACCTCATTTCACATGTTAACGTGTCATAGGCGGCGCCACCTTGTGCCATGATGTTATAGCTCTCCTGTTCTACCTCCATGATTCCTTCGTGAAAACAGTCTCCATATCGGTCCATGTATACTGTAAACAAAAACATATCACATACAAATACATTTTTGTACTTTCATTTCATGCTTTTACAAGGATCACATAATTTCAGTAAGAAGTGATGGCATAGCTAATAAAGATAAAAGTTTTGAACACAAAATAAGTGGTTTGGTGGAATTTAACTTAATTACCTTGACATCATGTCAGGACTTCACAAAATTTCGTTCAGTATGAATTTCATTTTACAAAATGTACAAGGTTTCCAGTTTTATGATATTTTTTATAAAAATGAAAACAGAAAGCCCTGAAAAAAATGCTTGTTTACAGAGGAATTTGGATTAGAGGAGATCCCATTATGCAAGCATTCACTGTACTTTTACAATGTGTATTTGTACAATGAATTTAAAGCACAATTCTTTAATTTTCCAAAGCTAATGAAAATCACCTTTAATATTTCACGTCAACAACTATAAAAGCTAGTTCTTTATCAATAAATTTCAAATGTAAAAAGTAAAGGGAGAAGAGTGTCAGGTTCAGAAAGTAAAAAATTCTACTTTATGTCCTCATCATAGAAAGACAAAATTGTATTTTAACAGGATAAAAGTAAAGTACAGTAGCTGTAATCAGGAACTCTGGAAAATATGTTTTTTTCCAAAGCTAATCACTCAGTAACTGGCACTGTTGATTTGTAACTTTCATACGTAATAGATTAGTCAACATGTTGCGCTTATTTTCAACGTTTTAATGCTGTACAAGATTAGTTTAGAGAAACCAAAAGTATTCTTAATTCTGGAGTGTCTATTAATTTGCATCCACTTTAAATTTGCCCTTTAAAGATTTACACTAGAAAGAAACAGTTTTAAGTAACAAGATTCTGCGAGCAGGAAATTATACAGTAATTATTCAGTACCATCTATAACTAATGACTATTTACATTAATATTCATGCTTTTGTTAATTCTTATAATCTTGAACAAATTCAGTGACAAACAATAATCAACTACTCTATGAATACTAAATAAGTAAATGAAGACATTATGTCTGGATGGTTGGCTTAAAACTGTCATAATAATATTCAAGTCCTAGAAATCTTATGTATACAGATCAATTGTTTTTCTCTTTTAACCAAATGACTTTATTCATCAAGACTGATATTGATTTTAAATTCAAATATATCATTTTATCCACTGAGTGTCGACATGTTTTAAATTTGCTTGTAAGAAAGGGGCAATTATAAAGCCAGAAGTAAGTAGTTCATCATATATACCTGCAACCATTTATCTAGGAACACCTGACATAGGCACTTAACATAGGGCCCCCCCCCCCCCCCCCCCCCCCCCTCCCGCACTGCCACCCCTCTGGGATTTGGTTTTATTTCTTCAACCTAAAGTTCGATCAGAAGTGTGTGAAACTACTCTGAGATTTGGTTGTTAGTATAACTTTTTTACAAAAAATCACACAAAATAAGTTAAAATCAGAAAAAAAATTGACTCAAGACCCTCTCTGACAACAACCTCTTGACACAATTTTTGCTCCCCCACCCTGTTCTCCCTCTGTTCTGCCCATGTAGCTGATCAAACTCTAGGTTGATCAAACAAAATCGATAATGAAATGAATATAAAGGAACTAAAGTACAGGTAAATAATACTATATAACTAAAAAATATCATGCAAAGGCTATGATTATACTCACAATAACTATATATTCATCCCAGCATAACATAGGAACAACAACAACAAACTAAAAATATCAAAATCAACATAACTTTTTAACTGAATCACTGCAAAATACAACAAAAAAAATAACTGAAATAAAGTAAAACGAAAAAAGGGAAAACTATAATACATGTATATTTTAAATAATTTTATTGCTTTGATGTAAATTGTCCTAAAACATTTCTTATTTCATTCCAGAGAATAAACTGGCTGTGTGACCAAGTAGTTATGGTAAGTCAGGCTAGTAACTAAGAATTGTTGGCTGCATGGGGAAAACCATTGTTTCCTTGAGCAAGAAACATATTATACTCATTGCTCATAGTGCCAGTTTATCCAATAGTGTATTTTTGAGATTATATCTCCCTACATAATCAAACCGAAATAAATTCTAAACATTAGAGTAAAATGAAAAAAATATGACACATCAACTTTCGAGAGTTTAACCTTTTCCCTTATATAAGCGTGTTTCCACGGCTTTTTGCCCCCACCCTTTTTTGAGGCCTCAAACAGTAAAAAAATGTCCTATTTAGACCCCAAACACTGTTTTTCGTTTGAGAAATGTTGTTAAAAAAAGTGACCATTTTTTCGGCGCCGTCCCCCATCCAAATAATACATCAGGGGGTTGCCAGAAGGGGGATGTGCCCCCTTCTGTTTGGGGGGTTTGAAGGGGGGCGGAGTCCCCCGCATCGCCAAGAAAATTTTTGACTTGTGAGAGGCTTAAAATGACCCCAGGTTGATCATAAGGTAACGTGTAACCAACGCTGAAAAGCCTTTGACTCTATCTCAATCCCTTGAGAACTCTATCTCAATCCCTTGAGAAGTTGCAGCACTTTGAAATAAATTTTGATGGAAAAAAATCGAGGCAAAAAAGTGATTTTTGGCAATTTTGAGATGTCCCCTCGTTGCCATGGTAACAGGAAATTTAAGACTGAGCATGTCGTTACAAAGGCAATGGTCCAGTCAACATTTGTGCCAAGTTTGATTAGTATTGAAGCATTTTTCATAGTTTCATAGCAGTTTGAACTTGTAAGAGGAGGCTTTTCAGTGAAAATGGCCATTTTTCACCATATGCTCATGGGGGAAAGGGTTAAGGTAATTTTCATCTACCTATTTTGGTTTCACACTGAACCATCGTTAGCACAAAATAACTTCTGTATAAAATAATAAATGAGAAAGAAAAAATTAGCTGAGAAAGTATAAATCATTAGAATTCAGTAATTCATGTTAATTGTGCATGTACTTTAAATAAAGAAACTTTTGAAAGAAATACAATCATTTCTGGTAATTAAATAGAGCAGAAAATAAATATGGTATGACAAAGCTAAAACTGAAAATACAGAATTTGTTCAATATCGTTTTAAAAAACAACTCGGGGTCAATGAGTACCTTCAAACAACAAAAACAGTAATAAAACAACAACAAGATAATCATAATGAATCATCAACAATATTTACCTGTTTCTGACCATGACTTCTCCAAGCACATAAACAGTATCACAAACAAAGCACTTGTTGACCTCTCAACACCCCATCCTATCACCATGGTGATCACATTCAGGTCAAGGTCACTTTTGGGGGAAAAAGGGGAACTTTCCAATAAACCCTACGCTCCAGTTGAAATATAAATTTATATTCCTCCAAATTATCTTATTTTCAGTTATATTCCATGTCAAATTCACAATTTTTCAGAAAATTCAGTAAATTTAATACTTTCTTTGAATTTTCATCCAGATTAATTATTTCCACAAACTGTTTAATAGGCAGCTAATCATCTAATCTTCTTGTGGTAAAAAACATATACTTCAGCACACCTGGAAAAAAAGACAACAAATGCAGAATTTTTAGTTTTGAAATACACCAGTACAAAGCTTATCAATATTTACTTTTCTCCAACATAACATATGTTTCTATCAGATAAATTTTATACATATATCTGACAGATTGCAAACCTTTTAAAATAGTCAGGTATTTAAGCAAAATGAAAAACATAGGAAGAATTTTGTGATATATTACCTATATCATGTTCTACCAGAAAGTATCATGTGGAAAATTTACCTATGCATGTTATTAGTTATGGTAAGTATTTCTCCTGGAAACATATATATCTTACCCTGATAATTATTGGATAAATAATATATAATTTACATACATGATTGTGTAATATATGGTTCTATCATAAAACATTAATTAACATTTCTGGGTCATTTTGTGTTCCAAGATAGGGCCAGATTCCCCTAATAAAGATGTTTTTCACTCTGTTGTTTTTTAAAACATTTTTTTTTTGAAGAATAAAAAATCAAACTGAAAGTACATTGTATAAAACATTCGTATTTTTGGATGTTAAACTATATTTAATTACACCTTCAACTTCGATTTACATATTGTACAGTACATGATTCTGCTATATTATGAGAGAAAAGTTTACAATAGAAGTATAATTTCATACCCTATATGTTGATATTGACATATTAAATCAACATGACTGTACTCATAGTGTTAGTCTTTGTCATAACACTATTGTACTATCAATTTACAAGTAACATCAATTTCTATCACATCCTTGATAAAAACTCACCTCAATTAGCAAGTTGACTGAATACTACCTCAGTTATATTATCATAAAATCTATAAGAGAAACAGCATGAAAAATGAAAACAGGAGATAAGAAATAAACACAATATGCTGCAGATTCTGCCATCTGGCTGGGGAAACACTTGAAACATTTGTGATTATAAGCCTCACCTGTATTATATAGTTAATAAATCCAATAATACACAGTATCTAAATATTCAACCAGATGTACCAGTAATCATTTGTTTTTCAGGTTTCAACACATTCATTACCATTAGACACATTATTAAAACCAGTAATTTTTTTCTTAGTTTCTTATATTTCTTGATTTTTCCTACGATAAGAAATGTAGAAACTGGTTTCCCTATAGAAGTTCCATGATTTCCAATAATTGGTTTAATGCACTAAATTCATGTACAATACAGTGTATTTATTTCCAGGTCTCCATTGGGGAATGCCGATCAATTCTACTTATGATTTCCAATACACTAGCCATAGCAGTATCCTTCTGAACTTACTATTATCCAATACACAAAACATTCCCATAACTGCAGCCCATACCAACAACATGGTATAGATTTTTTCCTGTTGTATCTTGTAATAGAATACCCACATTAATGTAAGAACAGCTTCCAACACAAGCATGATATTGCTTCCTTTTAATAAGATAATACAAATAAAATATCATGTAAAATAATTATTAATTTTATTTTCATTTAAAATTTTCAGAATTTTTAAGTCTTGTCTATTTTATAGTTCTCTTTTTTAAAAATCCTAGCATTATGGTGTTCTAAACAGACTAATTTCATGTACGGTATCATGCATGGATCCAGAGAGGGGTACAGGGGGAGGGGGATGGGAAGGGAGGTCAGGGGGTCATGATCACCCTTGAATTTGGCCATTATGGTAAACCCTTCTCAAATTTAGATATCAACTAACATTTTTCGTGAAAATCGCACAAAAAGTCTTGAAATGAGCAAACATTTTATTCATGCCAACCCTATGGAAAACCAGTGAAATATGAATTTTTAATTTTTATCTGTTGAAATTTTGCACCCCTCTCCGGTAAAAAATTCAAGATCCATACCTGTATGATGGTCATTGTTATATAGACAATTATGACACATAATTGTACAACCTTACAAGATAAATCTATGAATGATTGAGTCAAAGATCAAAGAACACAGAAAAGAATAGACATTATCCGGAATTCGGCAAAGTGGGGTTTTCCTACCTTAAATCTTTTACCATTATAGCTTCACGGCGCACTACCCGTCAACCTGTTTGGCTTATTTTCATAGCTGTTACTGTAAAAGTTGGTTTGTACCTATGTTATAAGATGGGAAAAACCCAAATATTCTTAATTCAGGAGTAAGACTATTTCTTGCATATCTGACAGGATTATAAACTGTTTACACCTTGCTTTTTTAAATAATACACCCCATCCTCCGCCCTGCATAAGACAAGTCATGTGTTTTTAAAACACATTCTTTATGAATGAAATGTGTTCTTAGGATTATGTCATATGCTGTTATAAATGAAGTAATAGATTTCATAGTTTCTTATGAGAAAAAAATGCCTCATAAAAATATCAGTTTTTGTAATTTCTTTCCCAAATATGAATTAATATTTATATGCAAAAAACAGAATCAATCACCAGCTGTGGTCACAGATGGGAATATCAGGTGACAAGATAAATCTATGAATGATTCAGTCAAAGATTCACAGAAAGAATATCATTTCCTTTGAGAATTATTTTTAAATTTTCAGGAACCTTCCTCTCATCTTTATGTGATAAATAAAATATAATTCTTACTCAATCAAATAAAACATGCTTTCTGTAAATGATTATAATACAACTGTGGTCATTTTTGTCTGCAATGGGAAAAGAGGACTCCTCTTCCAACTTTAAAAACAGGTAGAACTACATGTATATTTCACATAGGCAAAAAAACAAACAAAACAACTTGTTTTTACTAATGTTCTATATTAAAATTGACAAATATAAAGCTTTTTCTTATTAATGTTCTATAATTAAAGTCATAATTGCTGTTAATTAGATTCTAAAAGTAAGTCTTTAAAAGAATTGGCAGCTGGTGTATACACATATGAACTTTATACAGAGGTGATGCTTTAGTAAAGATCAGCTTTGTAGTGAATAACAGCAGAAAACAATGTTTTATATAGCAGACAATACGGAACTGTTACCATAACATGATACTTGGCAATGAATGTATTCATAATGCGAGACTAATTAACAACCTGGTATGTTTAATTATATATCTATTTCACTAAGGCCAAGTGTTGAAAAAAATATGTTACCCTAATGTTAAATTTATTGTTTCAAGTCTTACTTTGGGAAAAAAAATGATACAGCAGGTGTACCAGTACTTGCTGGTATATTCCCTTGCAAAATCAAATGTGTTACCCAATAAGAAATCATAACAATTCACATAATTATATACTAGTATACTGATAGCACAATATTAATTGCCACTTGCAAAAATTGGTTTAGCCTTATATTAATTTTCTATACAAGAACAATTCAAATGACAATTATTTAATAATAAACTCTCTAATATACTTTTTGATGGCATAATATGGTACAATATGATTACAGAATACTGGAAAAAATGTGGGAAATTTTCATGGGAAAAGATAATAAAAAACAGCAATGCGGGAACTTTTTTCCCAATTTTTTCCTATTAATTATCGTGACAGAAACATTGAGTATATGACAGAACATCAATATGTGATGATTCAGAGGAAACAGCTGTTTTATTAAAACACAAGTAAAACAATAGCCCTAGACTGAGAATATTTACTGTAGCAATATTATACTTTAAAGGACTTCCACTAAGGTAATAAAGTCTAAAAAAAATATTTGAAAATCTTTCATGGATCAACTGGGGCACTTAAAATGAAAAGATATGTAAAAGACAATAAAAAATATACTGGGAATAAAAGCGGAAATCATAATTTAGTGCAATTCTTATCCCAGATTTGGTTAAAAGCATTTAAACGTCCTTTTTTTTAAAGCTCTTTTTGCAGAATAAAAATTATTATTCTTGTAAAATGGAGAGAGCAAAATTAATGAACACAAGTTATTAGTACAGACTTTACCTACATCAAATGGTATAAAAAATCTCGAAAAGTATTTCCAGACACATCTAAAAATTTTAGTGGAGTCCCTTTAATGAGTCAATCGTAAAGCAGAACATGTTGATCAGATTCATTTAAAAAAAAAAAAAAAATTATAAAAACCCATTATACATGATGTTGTATTTCTAATAGCATAAAAACGTTGTTCTGCGGAACTCAGCAAAGATGTATTTTTTCAAAGCCGATCGCCTGCCTACTTCCATAATATGTAGCTTGTAGGTGCACTATCATTTAAAATATATTACCGGTAGTCAACCTGTTGTGCTTATTTCATTCATTCTCTCTCTTGGTTTTCCTGGATAAATAAATTTCATTGTGCAAACTGGTCCCAAATTGAAAAGCATACCTCAAATCGGTCCAAAAGTTAGTAAAAAAAAATGAATTATCAGTTTAATGCCAGGTATATTTATATATTATCTATTGCATAGTTTTCCACTTTAAGTTTATGAAAGAATTTCAAATTTTATGATTTCAGGCTATTGTACCTAAGTGTGGAGTTCCTTTAACTTAGAAACTTTATCAGAAAAGTACACATGATTATTTAATTACAGAGGATTATGGAGTATTGTACATGCATTAATATTTTAACATACTTGACCATGTACACTTAATTGACCTCAATCTGTTTTATTGATTACAGATTGTTTGAGGGAGGGGGAGCTGATAGTAATAACTAAATATTGAATAATGACTGCTGATTTCATGCAACAGAACAATATATATGATCATTCATTACCTATTAACAACACTAACCTGTAATTTAATTGACTTGCCCTCGTTTGGAACATCAACACGGTCCATTGTTGGCTTAAAGGATTTCAATAATTAAATAATAAATAGAGGATATTCAAGTTTTATCTATAAATACAGGATTTATTTTCATCAAGTGGTATGAAAATAAATATTTCATGAGTGGCACTAGTCACAAGTGAAATACGGTATGAAAATTTTCAAAGCACAAGATAAAAATAAATCCTGTATCTATAGATGAAAACTTGAATTTTCTGTTTATTATAAACCTTTTTCTCTTTTTTAACATTACAATTTGAAAGACTTTCCCTTAAATTTTTTGTATAGACAGAATTTAGAAAAAAGTAGTCCGGTAAAGACACCAGTGAAAATACGGAAAATATCTTTCACTGCAGTGAAAATAAATTTTTACAGTGAAAATACAGAAAATGAAAATACCCATTTTATTTCATCAATATTTCTCAAAATTTCATTTATAAGTATATAAAAAAAAACAACCAAACATAGAATGTGGTCTTTTGACTGCTGCACACAGAAATGCAGTAAGACTAAATAATCTTGGCATGCTGACAGGCATTATCCAAACATGCACTTGGATTTACAGTAACAGTACAGTTCAATAATTAGAGATGCTCTATATCTTCTCTAGCATATGTGGTCACTCATTAGTTCCTACAGAGCTGGTCAGATAAGATTTATATCTCTCTCAGTACAATACTGTATGTGTATTGAAAGTAGTTCAGGAGATATCTGCACTAACTAACAATGAAAGGACTTCTGATACCCTTCAATTACTGGAATATTCAAATTTCTATGTATTTATGATCAATAAGTTAATGTCTAAATATCCAGTGAACACCTCAGAAAAGAAACTGAAAAAAACCTATAGAACTACATTTGAAAAGAATAGAAGGTATGGAATAAAACATATCACCATGGAACAGATCACATACAACAGAACTGTACCACCTAAAACAGATCTGAACCCAACCACATCAAACAAATCTGAACTGTTACGCATCAAACACAACTGAACTGAACCACACAAAACAGATCTGAACTGTACCACACAAAACAGATCTGAACTGTACCACACAAAACAGATCTGAACTGTACCACACACAACAGATCTGAACTATCCCTTAACTGTACCATACAAAACTGATCTGAACTATCCCTTAACTGTACCATATAAAACTGATCTGAACTGTACCATTACAAAATAGATCTGAACAATACCATTACAAAACAGACATGAGCTGTACCATTACAAAAAAGATTAGACCTGTACCATTACAAAACAGATCAGAACTGTACCATGCACAACAGACATGAACTGTACCATACAAAACAGATCTGAACTGTACCATACAAAACTGATCTGAACTGTACCATACAAAAACAGACTTGAACTGTACCATTACAAAACAGATCTGAACTGTACCATACAAAACAGACATGAACTGTACCATTACAAAACAGATCTGAACTGTACCATTACAAAACAGATCTGAACTGTACCATACAAAACTGATCTGAACTGTACCATACAAAAACAGACATGAACTGTACCATTACAAAACAGATCTAAACTGTACCATACAAAACAGATCTT